AGTCCTGCTGCTTTCACTGGGCTGCTGGAAAGCATTGAATAATCAAATAGGTCATATCTGTTCAACTCCTCTAATTTATTGTCCCACTGAATCCAGATTTTCTGAATGTTAATGAAAAAAATACCTATCACGCCAGCTCTTGCCATTCTATTTTATGACCTTATTAAATCTTACACTTTCTTATCATGCAGTGACAATTACTGGAGTATAGGACAGAACTCCTTCTCTGCATCAATTGTGGCATGTACACTTTCTCCTGTCACCAGTACAGGCTGAGTGATTTAGACCAAATGAGCAGTCCTGAGAGATATTTTTACACTCCTGACAGGATTATATAACAAGAGAAAGGCCATTAACAAATACAAAGGAATAAGCAGAAGGGAGAAGGCAGGTGAAGAATGGGGAAGTAAATCTTCAGATCTGTCACCTCATAATAAAATAACCTTCATGTTAAGATTTAATGAGCTGGTTATCCCACTAAAGAGGGATGAAAATACTGTCATCCTGCTTATCCCAAGGATTTTTGGCACAGCACATATCTGCTTACTAAGGCAAGACAAGGGCTGTGTGTGTGTGCGTACACACACATACCCAGTGTACCGTCCTGTTCCTTATTAGTGTGATGTTTCTGCCTCTAAAATCAACCCCATACTGAAATGTGTCTGCAGGCAAAACAAAACTTATGCTCTTGTTACAGTGGTACAGTGGTCTAGAAAACTTTAATAAATGGCAACGTTTTAGTTTTATATACTCCCAGAAAACCAGTGTTACTTTTTTTTTTTATTATTTATTTTTAATAGGAATTTCTTAGGTGTTGCATATATTTCTGTAGTTCCTCTTCAGCAACCCTTCTCATCAATTCTCTAGAAAAATTATCCTCATAGCAGGCATGAATAGGAACCAAGAGCCCTCATTCACAGGGAAGTTTTCTTTACTAATAAATGATTCAAAACAAAGCACTTCAATATTTCTGATATAGGGAACTGACCTTTGTAAAGGGCCTACTTTGAAACTCACTCTGAGCACTGAACTCATCAGCCAGCAGCAGATTGATCGTTTCTTCTGAGGGAAAGCAAAACGGGGGACTTCACTTCCCCAGGAGACAGCTCCTGCATTTCTGGACAGCAGTGCTTCCAGTGCGTTAGGTTCCTGAAAGTTTTGATTAAAATGGGCAAAAGTCTATGCTAATATTTTCTTTCTAAACTTATGTTGAGGGAAGAAATGCAGCATTACAGATACTTCAACCCCGGGAGACGCTAGGATGTCAAACTGCTGGGTGTCAAACACTGGTAATCTCTGCAAAATACAGCAACACATCAGTAATTGGGCTTGGTTAGGTTTCTTTTTTCCACTAACAAAGCTTTCTGTAGGACTTGAGGCGTTGACCACTACTTGAGGTTTGAATCTGAGAGTGGCTGCAGTTATTTATTAAATACAGCTGACAGGAGAAAAGAACAAACAAAAACAAAATTTGGGGAGATAGCCTTGAAGCTGAGGTAAATATTGGAGGGAATGCTAACAACATGAAGTCAAACAAATATCTCATAAGTGAAGGAAGAAAAATACCACGAAAAGGCACAAACCTGCATAGCAGAGCACAGATTGGGATTTATTCAGTTTGGTTTAAATTAGTCCGTGGTGTTTGTCACCAGCAGTAGTTCTCTGCATTGCTGCCTCCTGTCGCAACAGAAGGGTTTGAGGATTTGAGTAAGCAAGCAAATGGCCTTAAAACAAAAACACATGCAGGGAGAGAATCCATTTCTCTCCTTATCTGCTCTCTATCCACCAACTGAAGCCATCCCTCCTCCCATGTATTCTGTCCTAGCGTCGTTCCCAGCTGCTGGGAACACACTGCCCAAACCCTCCGCTCTGTGACGGGGCCTTGGGGACATCGGCTGTCACCGAACAGTGACCTGGTCAAGGGACCAGCCGTGACTGCAGCTGTGAAAGCGGCTCATCGCTTCGTTATTCCTCGCAGATTCTGTAATTATTCCTTCCCAATTCTGTGGAGGTAGGACTGGAAAGGAGAACTGAATGCAGCGCATGTTGAGCTGAAGCACGCTGCCGCTCTTCAGCCGAGCTCCCATTTGTTCCATGACCATATGCTTAATTTACCAGATATTTTTTCTCAAACAGCCTTTAGTCTGTAGGAGGACGGTAAAAGTTACAGGAAATAATGTACTTTTTGCAATGACATTAAACTTCCTAATGCTACGATAATGCAGCTGCAGGTGAATTTTTGGGACCGAACAATTACTTTTCTGACTTTCAAGGTCTTATTTAAGTGGTGACAGTTATTCAGTCATTACTGGTATGTTTAGGTTTGAAATAGGAAAAAAGCCTTTTGAAGCGATACTTTGTTAAAGTTATTAGTTGTTGGCATTGTGGTTTAGATCTCCAGCTGCTTTTGGTTTTAGGTTTTATCTTCCAACAGCGTCATCTTGCTTTCAGTAGCTTAAGAGACCCGTCAATACTTTTTATACTTGAGCTTGTGAGCTGACGTTCTGCTTGTGTTCCAAACAGGTACCTATGAACGGCACGTTTTAATAAGCCTTAGTCCTACAAAAATCCCTAAGTATGTACAATGTGAGGGGGAATGGGAGTAATTATAATTTTAATTGCATCAGTAAAGATTGCTCCCTGACTCTGGCAGGGAGAAGATAGTGATTTTAATGCCAGGTTAGCTAGTTGGCTGTTCAAAAGAAAATGAATTAGTTTCAATGTGATAACAGATTTACCCGGTAACATTGAGGTTCTTTGCTAATCTCAGACTGTCTGGGAAGGACAGAGAAGCATTTGCAGAAATGTGAAAAAGCGCTCGTGTGTGTGTGTGTGTGTGTGTGTGTGTGTGTATTTAAAGATGATTAAGGACTCTGAGATTCAAAGCTCCTGGGCTTTCTACTGTAGCACTTGCCCTGAGGCACCTTCAGACGAGATGGATAAAACAAGAGGAGGAGAAAGTGAGCAGAGAGGCTTGTCCAGTGGCTGTGCAGTTAGGAACAGAACCAGTGCTGGAGTACCAGTGGTCTCCCAGTCACTTTGGTAATGGTTACGTTTTACGCATGCTTTGCAGTGCAGGTAATAGGTAAATAAGTTGTGGTGTAGTTTCCTGTTTGGTTTTCAGGCGTAAGGAAGGCGGCAGTTGTTTTACCTTCAGTTATTAGGGTGTTTACACTGGTGTGCCACAAGACGTGTAGTGAGGAATTTAATAAAACAATATTTTTTTATTGAGGTATATTACTTATGCCTGTTTGGCTAGAAAGAGGTGGTCATTTAATACACAGTCAACAGGCTAGTACCAAAAGAAACCAATTTAATTTGTCCTGAAAAGTATACAGAATTATCACAGTGAAAAAAAAATCAATTTATTAATGCAAAATGCTCTTGTATATTTGGGTATTGCCTCCGTTTCTGACGTGGCCTTATGAGTAGGTAGATTAGGATTTAAGAAGACGGGATTTAATGTCTGGAACTCAAGTTTCTTTTGTAAAATGTAGGAACAATGCTTTGGGAACAATTGGCAGTTGATCCTTTGTTTATTGTACCTCCTTCCCCGTTCCTTTTTGGACAAAGTAACTCACACATCATATGTTACTCCATTAAATAACCCAGGGCCATCTTTTCATGGATTTTTTTAACAATGAGTATGGGAGTATCTTCAGCTCCATCAAACCAAGCGTGTCTGCTATTAACCCTGTGGGTGCTAGCCTAAGTAAATTTTCAACCTCAACAGAAAATGAAGATATGAGAAGCAGAGCTTCAACTATACTTGAAGAGCCATACTTGCAAGGCACAATAGGCACTGTATTTAATTGTGAACAAGGGTACTTAAAGAGCTCTCTTGGGAAAGAAAAAAAAAAAGACAAAAAAAAGACACCTTTTTATTTATGAGCTGAAATGGGAAAAGACTTTGGATGCTGTGAGCTCTCTTAAGTACGTGAGTGCGGGGCGTTAGAGGTGGGTGAGGGAGCTAGACAGGTGTAAGGAATGTGGCATGTAAATAATGAGAATGGCACCCTGCTTCTGTGTTCGATAGAGACCAGCATTGTGTTTCCAAATAATCTGATAGCAGCCTCTACTTGCAGTAGAATTTCTAAGTAGCTGTTCATTAAATCACAATACAATGCTTCTCATAATAACACACATTATTTCTCTGCAAACATAATTAATCCTGAGTAATTTTACAATGACTGTCAAAGGCAGTTAACATGTGATAGTCCTATTTGTTATAAACGGTGGCCATTACGTTATATGGTGTAGGATGTCATGGGTGGTAACAACTTAAATGCATGTAATGAAGTGTTTGAAGGCTATCTTGATTCGTAACAGCTTGTTCTAGCATCCAATGCTAAGTATGTATTAATGATACCTTTTATAACACCTCACTTAAAGTTAGTGCTATATCCAGATTCTCTTTTTGTCAGGCTAATGTATTTGTAGATGATGCTTAATTGCATGTATTAATGTGACAGCCTTACCTGGCGTGTAGATCAAAGCCGTCCAGAAAAGAGCTTTATAACCATGCCTCGCAGAAAGCTGAAGGCTTTGTCTCTCCTTTTCCACCTAGTTTATATAAACATACCATCTGGCTAGGATGACTATGAGAAGGACTTTATGAGACAGTGAAGTAAGGCTGGCAGTAGCTGAATTATTAAAACTATTTAAGCTATTAAAAACAAAACAAAACTGAAACAGGGCCATAGTGGCATCATCCAAGGGCCCAGCACTGTTAGAGTCTAAGCCAAGGCACTTAAGTGAAATAGTATAAAACTAAGATGTTGTTCTTGAATTGGTTCACTGTTGTCAGTAAAGGGTAAACTTCAGTATTGGTCCCTTCCCTGTAGACTTGTAGTTTTTCTAGAAAATGGTGCCCACTACACAGTTTTCCAGCACAAACTCCCATACAAGGCTCACTATAAAACCAGTGAAGCATTGCAAAGCACTCACATCTCAACATCTTGTTTTATCACAGAAATTAATGTGCCACTCAGACAGTAATCTGAGATGTCAGTAAAAGACTCTTTATTCATAAATAACTGATATGCAGTAATTTATGTCTGTACATTTATCTTCAAAAGGCTATAGCCATACAATTTTTGCAAACTCTACATAAAACATCCAAACTGTCCATTATTACATTTTCAGTACAATATAACACAGCTGTTTGGCATTACCAAATATATATATGTATATATATTTATATATGTACATGTGCTGAAAAAAGAAGCCAGTGCAGCCTTTTCCAAGGAGTCTTTCCCAAGTATTTTACTGTACAACATTCAGAATTTACATCGATAGAACAAGGCACAGAAAGTGTGGTATGAAGCCAAGGCCATGCTTCTCATTTAATGTTCTTCTAGCTCTCCTCCTTACTCCTTCAGCTTCATACTATAGAAAGCAATCAAACCTCTGCTCTTTTTTCAGTTCTAAACAAACCATGGGGAGAAGCGGGGGGAGGGAAGAATGCGCAGTTGACTGAGCAAAAGTCAACATTTCAGAACCAGTTCACTGTATAAATAGGGGAGCAGAAGAGAAAGTATGTCTCACTATGCAGGAATAGTGGTTTTAATATTTATTTAGTGTGTGTGTGATTTTAATATTTATTTATTGTGTGTGTGTTTAGGTTGAGGTTCCTCTCTCCCCATTTTGTCAAAAGGCTGGTCAAAAGTTTGGGAAGCTGGAAATGCAATGGAAATTTTCAGTTAGGTAGCTCTAGCCATGAAAAACACTGATTTAAGTCTCGACAGACTGACCAGCATTCAATTTTACTTCATTCGAATTAAAAAAGGTGTGCATTTAAAGTTTTTGTACCCATTTGTAAACTGAGATCAGAGTTGGAGTGGGAATGAATTTGATTAAGAGGTGGGAGAAGGTGACTGCATTTCCCAAGTCACAAGGTATGTGGTGCCAGTTTATTATTCCCAAATACATACCAGGAGTACGCCACCTCCCCAGTGAGGCACCTGTGTACTGCTTACTGATGCATTAGGAAACTGTGAGATTCAGTGATGGTACCTGCTTCTTTGACTGAAAGTGGAAAGTACGCACGTAAAAATATTCCTCCCTCCCCTTCCAACTTCAGTGCACAAATGGGGGAAAACTGAAAGCACGGTTTGGGAAGATGCCATCATCGTTACATTAATATTCCAAACTTCAGTAAGGGAAACACCAGGTCTTACAATTTTAAACTGAAAAAACAAAGCTTCAGCCAGTTCTAAGTGAGGATTTGTTAGGAAACATTCTTGTTCTCTGTAGCAAATACGCTTGCTGTTAGATTCATGTCTTCCCCCTCCTGCTGTATCAGAAAAAACTTACACCAGGCCTGGTGCGCAGCACCCTGAACTTCCTATTCTGCTACACTTTTCCTTTTGGGATTAGACAATAAGATTTATATACAGAGACCAGGTAACACGGGGGGTTGACATCTTCTTAAATCTGCAGAAGTACATTCTCAACCAAGGTTACCACACCAGGGGCAGACAAACTAAGTAGCTGCTGACAAAACCACAGTTCTACAGTAGGTGAGTGGCTAATCTCATTAGATTACAGTACACTACATTACAGATCAGGGATGGGTCATCTAATCTCCCGATCCCTTAACTAAATTTTCACAAGTGACTTCAGCTCTAGTTACCCTGTGACAGCAAGGCAAGAAGGCTACCCATTGAATCCTGGCTCACCTGGATTCCCTTGTAAAGCACAAACCAGTTATTCAATACAACTGAACAGCTTATTTAAATGCAGCTTTTGCAATAGCTTGAAAATTACAATACACCCCTACCCACCCAAGCCCCAGACAAGAAACACTAGTAAAGTCTGTACTATTCACCTCTAATACAAAAAATATAGTGGCAAATTCCTAGACATGTATTTTATTTTTGGACAGAACAGTGAACAAGAATATTGATAGGTTTTTCTTGTGGCAATGAGTAGAACATCAGTTCTGTTTTCTGCATTGCGGGCACTGTTACTATCAAATGCTTCTCTAAGCGATTCTTTAATCTTAGAGCGGTTTCTTTATGTTTGTCCATGTTGGAAAGGAGATTTTTGCTACTGTTTGTTAGTGTTGGTAATGAGAGAGAAAAGCTAGACTGTGCGGTATTAGAAAATGATTCATGATCTTTCGCCAGTGGATTGAGGTTTGGTTGTTGTTGCTGTGGGTGTTGTGTGCCATGTACCTGCTGGTGGAGTTACTGTATTTATCCAGGAAACCTTTAAGTTCTAGGTATTTTTTAACTAGACAATCATTACCTATGCAGGAGAGGATATATGTGCCATTTTACATGCTGCTGCAGAAACACCGCCAGCCTCTCCTGAAGCAGGAATCGTGTCAAGGGAGTAATTTTACCAAGCATAGATCACAAACAAACATCCCATAGAAAACACTCTTCAGCAGCTTTAACGTGCAAAAGGTTCTCGGTGAATAATGTTAACCATCTCGACTACTGTGTAACAAGTGTGAGAACTTCCTAGGTATAATCCTAATGAGTAAAACAAAGGCTAGAAAGACAAATCTTCAGATCATTCACAGTTGTTAAGGACTTAGATATAATTTCCTCTTTTCATTTAGTTAATTACTGTCCAAGACGTAATGCAGTCATTTGCTTAAAAATAACTCTATGTTTTACAGGCTGAAACAGACTGAAAAAAATAATTCAAATTATGACAAGAAGTCCCCCAACAGTTTCTCACTTGTTTTAGCTTCACTGTATACCTAAGCTACATTTTTTTCTGGTGGAAGATAATAGCTGGAGCCAATCAGTTACTGAATGTTTTAAAACTCTCTAACAGCAATGTCTTTCACCTGAAAACAAAAGCAAAAACAAAACAAAAACAAACAAACAAACAAACATAAACGAGAATGGACCTCTGGTATGAGGCCCACATAGTCCTACGAAGAGATCCCTGTTCCAGCCACTTAGGCTGAATTAGCTTCTCTCTTAACATGCTGAAAACAAGCTGTGCACAGGCCCATGGAGGAGGAGACCAGCTGCTGCCAGAGATAAAAATATTAACAAAAATAGTTCTTAGTATTTTAAGAGAGTTGTGTTGATATCTTTCCATCTATTACAAGAAGTCCAATAACATTTTTGTAGGAGTACATCGTGGCTTTATGGGACTTGCGCTGGTAAATGAGGTTAGAATTTAAATCTACAGAGCAGGGTTCTTTTCTTTGTGGCTTAAAGGATTTTAATGTAAACTAGTAAGACTGCAAAAGCAATGTTGTAAAAACTGTAAATTAGCTTTACGATGCTGCAGTCTGGCAAAGCTGTGAAGTGCACCATTTTAGTGACAAAATTGTAAGTCATTTAAAAAATGTAACTATTAGTCTTAAATGACTCACAGTACAGAAGTATCTGGAAGTGCTTAGGAAGATGAAAAAATACTCGAGCAGATTCTTTGGTGATGTAAAATCAACATGGCTATTTCACTGCATCAGGCTCAGGGCAGCTAGATGGAATCTGAAGTGTACAGCATTGCATTTCTCTTTCTTTCAATTTTTTGGTTTGTGAAAGACACTTTTTAAAGTTATATTTCAAACGTCATCGTTTATAAAATAGAGGAAAAGAATCGAGTTTGAATTTCTGGCCCCTAATCCTACTTCAGATGCGCCTTTACATCTGGGTTTTGGATCAAATCACATACATACACACACATACAGATTTCCAAAAACAATCTTCGTAACATAGTTGTTAAAAATATGCTCTTAGAATTTTAAGACTGCTAATCTTTTCCAACATATCTATTTGTACAGCATTTGCATACAAATTCTAAATTATCATTCTGTGAGAACACTGTATTGCAAAGCATCCTCAGAGCAGACTGTGGGGGAAAAAAGCTGACAGAATTTATCAGCTGCTTTTTACTGTGAAAAAGCAAAAGAAAACAACATTTAACATCTTTTACTTATAGTGTTTTGCTATTTGTTGTTAATGGTAGCAAAATCCATTTGTAGCTCATTTATATGGTAGCAGAAATATCCCCCCCATGTTATAATTTCTCTATCTCTAAAACTGGGACAGTGCGTGAAAAGGGGAGGAGAACAGGCACAAGCCTCTATAATTAAAAGTGCTAAGCTTTATTAATATCATCCCATGATGCTAACATAAAACAACAGAAAGGGAGCATCTGAAAACAGGCATATCTGTACCAGATACAGACGGTAATCAACAGATGCAAATTTCCCAGGAGTAGGAGAAAAGGGAAGAGAAAAAGACTGAGCCTATCTTTCCACCTCAAGTTATTGTCTGCTTACTGCTTACTATGACCATTGTTATCACGGAGAACAAGGACTTTCTTTTTTACAGAAGATTTTCTGATTTGACATTCTCTGTCACCTCTCAGTCTGATCTTAAAGCTACGCAGTTTTTTCCTCACAGTTTTATTTTCTGGATGTTCAGGCAGCTGAATCCACTCTGATGATGTATTAGCTTGAGTCATTTGCACAGTAAAGTCACTTACTGTGTTCTCAGGAGTCCCACACTCTCTCACAGGCATTTCTTGTGGCTTTATGCTATAGCAAGATCTTCATCCTCTGTGATTGATACTGAATGTGGGAACAGTGAGAAATGGAGGAAATGAAAGAATTGAGTGATTTAGCCTGCATTCTTGTTGAATAGCAGACAGGTCATTGGTCACTCCATCTCCAAAAAGATACATAACTAGAGATGATACAGACAATAACAAGGATGTTCAGGGAAACAATAGACCAGGATTTTTCAGCCTAGAAAAGAGAGCGAGGGGAAATGAAGTCTGTAAGATAATGAATAATGTGGACAAGGTGATTTGGTAACAGTTACTCAGTATTCCTTATTACAGGGAACCAGGAAGGCCCAGTGCAACTGCTAGGCAGCAAGTGGTAAACAAAGGAAAGCTTGGAGAGGAAAGGAAAGGCTGTTTAAAAAAAAAAAAAAGCAAAACGGGATTGTGGCACTTGTGGCTAAATGGGTGTTTTGTCAGATGTACTATGGCATTTCTTAGAAGACTCAGGTGTCCATCTCAGTAAACTCGTGTAGGCCAGCCGTCTAGTTACTGTTTCAAATTCTTTTCCCGGGGGATAAAGGTACAAAAGTATTATGGCATTTCTAGTCCAGTTAAACACTACCAGGGCATCAAACAGTAATAGGTTAGAAGAAGTCAGTGTTCTTGGTTTCAGTTCACAAAAGGAAGGTCAGCAACAAAGAAGCTGCTTTGGTGTAACTGAACAAAAACCAGGAAACGAAACCTAAGGGGAAGCAGGAATGCTCCACTGAGCACTGCAAAATTAAAATCTTACCTCAGGCCCCAAACCAAACAGCTACTTTTCTGGCATTGTAAGACACTTCAGTGTCTCTTCCTGTTCAGTCCATTAACTCGGACACTAGACGTTGTTGGCTCTGACTTGGATTTTGGTGCACAGCCCAGATCCCTCCTGTCTGCAGCCCTTTCAGGGGTGCTGTGGGGCTCTGGCCACCTCCTGGTTCCTCTCCCTCAGCCGTACTCAGCGGTCAGCAGCAGCGCTGGGTGTCGCTGTACAGGGAGGATTTTCAAACCTACCCAAGTCTTGACTGTAAACACTATGCACTTCCTGAGAAAGGCTTTAAGGTCTAAGCTCCACATAGCAGCTCACTTGACCCTACACATGGTGAAACAGGAGAAGGCAACACACACAGCTCCGCAGAACAGCACGACTGTCTTACAGCCTGTGCAGGGCAGTATTTAGGTCTTTGTTGTAGGAGCTAACCTAAGCTAGCTTGAAAAAGCAGCAACCAAATTAAAACTGCATCTGAGGAGACGCTGAGAACAAATTAACTGCTGGAGAGTGACTGTAGCAGGTTTCCCAGACAACGACAGCTCACTAGAACTCCATTGCTTTCTGTAGATGCCATTCCCTATTTTTTTTATTCATGACATTTTGTCCAATGAAAAACAGGTTTCTGAGGAGGAGGAATGGAAGTCACTCGAAATATAACTCAAACACAGACAGTACCATGTGCTGCTGAAAAAAGTGACAGCTTGCTGCCAAATAAGCTGGTATTTTTGTCTCGGTCTTAAATATGCCTGCAGCCATTATGATTTCGCACCGCAAACAGGAACTCTGATGTCAGACTGCATGAAATACTAAAGTGCAAAAAATGTTTGGGGAAGTCTACGTATTTGTAAGTCTAAGGCTATTCCAGCCTGCTGAGCTGGGAAAGCAATGAAATTTGCAATTTCAGATCAACAAGAATAAGCAAAGTCTCACATCAAGAGCTGTTGATTGCACTTTTCAGAACTGGCATCCTGGATAAAGAAATAGTTTCAGCTGATTATAGATTTGCACACTGAGTACCCACCCTGTGGCTTGTTGTGCTGGTCTCAGCCAAATATGAGGTTTTAAAAACAAAACAAAAAAAACCAACAGAAATCGCATTTTCAATTTCTTACTTTTCCATAAAGCTCCTCAGGTCTTGTTCATGTTCATGCTTTGTACTGATTGTGCTCCTGTCACCAAAGCTGAGAGCCTTGGGCCAGAGCTAACAAGCACCTTGGCTAATTTTCAAAAATATATGAGTGAAAATACTGGTTAAATTTGGTTTGGTACTAGTTCTACTCACTCACAGTGACAGCTGTTTTCTTTTTGGTTCGGTTAAAGTAATAAATTATTTTTGTATGAGGTGGATAAAAAATGAAGAGAATTCACTAGTTAAATTCTGGTTTTGGTGATAAATGCAATATGTTTTTAACTCAACCAAGCATAACATAGCCAGCTTTATGTTCTACAAAATTTGCAAACTGTACAATGAATCTGAGCCAATTTTTGGCAGTACTATGTGGGGTTTATCCTTTCAATCTGAAACTAAACCAAAATTAAGCTGTACTGATTGAATTCACCTTTGCTTTTTAACTTAGCTTCCACTCCCCCCCCCCCCCAAGTGTAAACTTGCTGAAGTAGGGCTGGCAATCTCCTGAATTTGATTTGGTTATTTAAATCTACTCCCAAAGAAACATTTTTGACTGAGTGAAAATTTCTCCCACGTACTCGCGAACACTAATTCCACAGAGAACGGCCTTGTTCAGTCGTTTTGTTAAGGGAATAGGCAGGAAGACTGCAGCAAAGGTACGTGCAGTGGGGGACTGACTTTTTTTTTTTAATTAGAATGTAGTTTGAAATCAATTAAGTAGTTAATATCAATTAAGTAGTTGTAAGATCTCTTAATTCCTCAAATGTCTGAACAGGATAAGACCAGATTTTCAGTTGTCATGTAGCTCAGTTACAGCAAATACAAAGTGACTACAAGATGCTAGGAAACTGACATTTAAAATCCGCTCTTTAAGTGTGTTAAGTTGGAAACGCAGGACAAAGGGGACTCAAGGCCCCAAGAAGAAAACCTTTAAACCAGGATTAACCTCTAGTGGCTCTAAATATTTACCATCATATTTGCTGGTAATTACTAGGCATTATACTCTCCTTTAGCATCACTGTTTCCTTAAATACATCATGCCATAATATTTACCTTGTACGGCTCTGTATATCACTCCTTCCTGCCCCGAGCAATGATAGATGTGTAGTTTTGTTTTTGAATTTGATATATGAATCTTAAATGAGAGAGGACTGTAGCACAGGGAGAGCTTGTGTTTTCCTTATTACCGAGATGATTTTTAATAGGGCTTCTTCTGCTCCTCCAGCTGAAAACTGCATTGTGGAAATGAGCGTCTGCTTCCTTACAGTGTGCAGAAACCCTTATTTCCTCCCTGCCAAAGAGATTCTCTAGTGTAAAAGTCAAAGCTGGCCATCGGTTCTTGAATGGAAAAGAAGGGACTAAAGTCCATTTTGTCTGCTGTAGTTGAAGTCAGGCTCCTCAATCTCAGTTTCTGTTATGTCTGAGATTTTGGAGTGTGTCCTTCCTATTTCTTCCAGTGCACAAGCAAGGGAGTCAAGGTCTCCATCATGTTGATGTCGGGCTTCCCAGAGGTCCAGAATGACAGCAGATGGACTGCGTTGTGTAGCGAAATAGGAGAGATTCCTGAAAGGGGGTGGGGAGATGAAGCAAAAGGATTAGGAGAACTGTACAGTGTAACACTATGAAAATGTTCACTGAAAAGGGAAGTGCCCTGTGTTGTGCCTGTGGAAGTACAAAACAAACAAACAAACAAAAAACAGCAGGAAACCTTCAGCAAGATCTAATTAGATGAGTGCAGGGAATGCTCCAAAGGACACACACTGGTGCTTTTATTCTTTAATTGTTACTTGCTCAATTTAGCAGAGGTAGAATGAACACAGGATTCGTTCTTGTGAGGTACGTAAATGCTGGCCAGCACTTACCATCCTGTGTATTGATTTAGAAACCAAGTCAGTTCTGGAGAGTGTCATCATCTGGAGAGCAAGCTTAGTAAAAATTTGTCAGGGAGAGAAATTGTGTGATTTAAGTTGATGCTTGCAATTCCATGAAGTTAAATCGTATATTTTCATTTGTAAATTTAGATTTATGATGATGTAGTTTTTAGAACTTTGCAGGAGTCATATTGGCAAAGAATTTAGTAAAACAAAGTGAGCATCTTTAACGCATTATTCTAAAGCTCCTTCTATTGACTGGCCTTGGACATAATCATCCAAACAAAGAAATGACCTTTATGCTCACAAGCATAAATGTTATTTATAGCACAGAATAGTATTACTCCTAACTGTGGCAGCACAGTTTCCTTTGAAATATGCCCTTTCCTTAAAGAAAATCTTCAAAACAGTTTAATTTGGTTTGGAATAGAACATACCAGATAGAAGGCAAGACAGCAGGCTGTATGATTTTTTGATAGAACACGTGCCAAAATCTTCTTGAGTCTTGTACTTTACCAAGACCTCAGTCTTGTGGGTGTACCAACTGAGCTTAGAAGCTAATGTCAGGTGGGATGGGACACCTGGGTTTATTCAGAGGAGAAAACAGTTCCTGTTTTCAGTAGCGAGTCATATAGATAAGAAAGTTACAATTAATCCTTGAGAGTAAGAAAGGTGATTACCATTTACACATCTTTAATACCAGCAAGCAAGCAAACAAACAAAACCCATAACATAATAGCAGGAAATCATTCTTAGTGCATATGTAAATGTTCACCTTTCAAAATTGCCTTCCATTACCTGCTGATGCTGTTTTTTTGTGCTAACATCTGCCAGTCTTTGCCTTTGGCGTTGGGTGTGTCAAATGTTGCGCAGATTCTTTGTCTGATGGAGTAGGGGATTTTGAATGCTTTTGCGCCCATCTGTGCAGGGAAGTTGCTGTCATCATGTGCAAAGAAAGTGATGCTTTCTCTTTCACTCTACACAGAATACAAAAACAAAGCAGTTAGCACAGCATCAGGCTTTGTGCCTACCTTCAGGTCTGTAGGTGGCTCTCTTTAGCACGGTAACAGGTAACATCAGGAGTCCTACCATGTACTCCTGTTTACCAATGGGGACTGAGACAAGATTTTTGCACAGCCTCGTCAGAAGGAGAATAACTGTGAGTGCAGACAGTTCTTTTCTGTATTCTTTCTGCCGCCTTGTTACGCAGGATCAACCTGCAGTGAGTTTAGCTACAGGTACCTGTTGGTGCATCACATCCACTTTTGGAGGAAGAAAGCATCAAATCTGAGTCTATGATTCCATCTACAGTTTGTGGAAGTGACAACAGAAAATGAAATAGCTAGGAGGTTTTTTTTCTGATCTGCAAAGGAACTTCTAGCACATCACAACCACCTATGTCTAAAAACATTTTAAATAGTGTCATTTTCCTTCCACAAGTTTCCTATTTTTGGGTAACAGATGAAGTCCAAGAGAGCAGTGACTGGGAGGTAAATGCCACAAAAGGATATGGCTGCCTATATCTTTAATAGCTTAAACCTAAAATGCAGATAAAAATCTCCCATTTGTAATTTTTTAAAAGCACCTAAATTCTGTAAGTACCTCAGTTCTTCCACATTAAACATCTCTATGGAATCCAGGTCCTTTTTGTAGTTCCTTCCATTTCTTTTCCTACGAAATTATACCAGCCTTGTGTAATGGAGTCACATTTCCATGCATTATTCGTTTCAGAGCAATGCAGCATAAATATTAAATAACAATGATGCTATAGTCTCTTCATATAACATTTATGACACATCCCAAAAGTCATCCATGCAAAGTAATAGCAGTGCTGTAGATATATCACGTTGTCTGACTGTTTAAATTAAATATGCAGAACAATAGTAGGTTTTCATACCCTGCACATGTGAGATAAGCTACTGCTACCTGGTTAGTTCAGGGAATTCTAAAGCAACGAACAATTCAAGTATTCAGTTGTTATTTATATATTTATCTTATAGTCAAATTATCCTCACTTTTCCTTCACTTTTTGAGATAGTCACGAGAAAGCCTTCCGTATTAGCAAATCTGTTTGAGGACAGAATTGTTAGATGCTCTGGGGACTTGTGGATAGATAGGTCCCTTACAAGAAAAAAAAAAAAAGAGGTCACAGATATTTATAAGGACAGAAAGTACTGAGATGTTTAGAGAAGGACAGACATTTTTTATGAAACTTCTACAAAGAACTGGCAAATGCTCTGACATTCATAAACTGTTTTTATACTGAATGAAATTTGTGGTTTTCTTATTTAGTTGCCACATCCTTTGCATAGTGCATTTAGCACATGAACATAAATCTTTAATACAGAAGTATCCAGATACTTCTGTATTAATCAATCAAGACTGCTTAATAATCTAAAAAAGGTAGCTGAAGTTCTCACTGCTGTAGGACTCATTACCAGCTTGCTCAGTGCACTGTTGCTTTCTTTAACATGTGAGCAAAGCTGCAGTCCTCGAAAGACATTGTGTGTGTACAAAAACTCCCGAGTGGCCCGACAGCATCCAGGCAATCCATCCATTTTCAACTCTCAGTGCTCTGCAAGATGCTCAAAAACTTTCTGCAAGAAAACTATTACTACTGACTCAAATATAGATGATTTTTAGTGTTGTAAAATCTCTGTAAGTACATCGTTTGATTTCTACTGGAAATAGAAACTAATGCTTTGTAGGGGTGTTACAGCTTTGAACAGGCCATGAGAAAACAGACTGAGGTAGAAAGGGCAAAAGCAGGGAGGGATTGTGGCTCACACTGCTCAACAACTTGAAAAAACCACCACAAAACAGAGAGAACACTTTACCTCTAGAATGGATGTCTGGATCTGTAGGATTTGCTCGTGCCCCTTGACTTGTCGGACGCAGATCTTGCAGGACAGCTGTGTCGTGGCAGGAGTGTAGCGCTCCAGAGAGAAGGCACAGTGCAGCGGCTTCTGGTTGCTGCACCACACACGGGAGAACGGGACTTCCTGCGAACAGAAAGCATCCCCCGAGAACTGGGGAGAAACTCCTTCAGTTTGGTTCTCCCTTCGTAATTAAGTTCTTAGCAGACAGAATGTAAATCATCTCACAGCTAGAGTGACACTGGATCCTCCAAGAGGCACAAGACGCCAGGCAAACAGCTGCTTCCAACACCTGAAGGTGCCCGTCTGCCTTCCTAACATGCTTGTTGCAGCCTCTTCCTGCTCTACCACCCCAGCAGTTTTTAAGGGTTCCCCCTACTGACTTGTGAACACGGTGGGAAGGCTGCCAAGCACTCAGCATCTGCTCCTGCAGGATGGCCAGGACAAACAAATGCACTAGAGGAATTCTGACTGCCACCTGCTATTAACTGCTTTGATGCCGCACTTCTACGCGATGGTTTATTCATCTGTTCAAGCCTTGAAACAGGATCTTTGCTAATTTGAGAAAATATTAACATAAAACTTTCCTCATCATAATGTCTGACAGTGGTTTCATTTGGTGGACCAAACAGATAATAACTGAACAGGCCCATTTCAGTTGTTCTAGGCAAGCAAAACTCTTAAAGCCAGTTTGTTCTTGAAGTGCTGGCTCGTAGGAGAGAAAATGATTAAACACTGGAAGAAACCCCATAAAGAAATGGGTTCTTTTGTATATAAACAGTCTGGAACCGAATCACAACTGTCAACAGACTTGGGACATTTCACAAAACATTGCCCTGAGAAGGAAATACAAAGTCAGTGCAAGTCGTTCTGCATTTCTGCTAGAGACAATTACTGTCTTTCTCAGCTGTCCAAGCCACTCAAACTATACCCAATTATAAAATGCAAATATTTATTTGGCTTCAGTACCAGCACTGTGACAGACCCCTCTGTCAGCAGAGGTTTTGCACATGCTTGTTTTTAACGCTGAGCTCCTGCTGAGAGACTGGGTCGTGCCTGCTGTGATCAAAATCTCCAGCAGGTTCGGAGCCCTCCTTAGAGCAAACACAGCACACAAGCATTCTTCCACAAATTATGGAACCCTCATCTGACTTTCTAGTTTTTGGTTTTATCCTGAAGCAATAAATTGAACAGCTACTTTGGACCATGCCAAATGCATTAGATGCAGCAAAGCAAGGCCCTTGCAACATGTAAAGATTATTACAGATCAATTTGCACTGGCTATCACGACTTGTTTTAATAGCACCCTGTAGTTTAATTTGACTGAAAACTCTAGACTATTACTTGCCAACAGAGAACAAAAATGCCTGAGTTAAGTATAGTGTAAACAATGCATTTATTCCTAGAAGATGTACACAGCCTTAGGAAGAGTGCTAGGTATTTGATCCTAGTGGGGCATCCTAATACTGATTGGTTTATCTTTTAAACTCTAAATAAGTGAACAGACTAAACAAAACACTTAAAAGCGAGTTGTTCTTCACATGAAGCTGAGAATGAAGTTGTTTCTTTAATTTCTTAAATTGCATCATGAATTATCCTCATGTTCTCATAGATAAAGGAATTTATATACAGATCACTATCATTTTCAGAGTCCATTATGCTCATACTTTGGAGAATATGGCAATACATTAAAAGCAATTTTTTTTGGCTAAAATACTCTATGACAGACAACTGTCTCTCTATATGCTTCTCGGAAAGGGAGATTACGTAGTCTGATTAAGTTCTGTATTTTAAAAGACCAGCTCGCTCTATTTGCCAGCACATTGCTTATAATTTCCAGTAACCAATACATTTAGAAATCTTTTGTTTTGATTTATACTTTCCTGTCTTCAACAGCCTCTCTAATTAATGTCTTACAGGAAAAATAATTTGCTCTTAATCATTTCTAAGAATATGCATGCCATAATTTGAACTCAGTGACATTTAAATGCTGACATATATCCTCTCCTTTTCAGACGTATATTCATGGCTGTATAGAAATTGGAATGACAAAGACATCAAAAATAGTGATAAATTTTAACATGAGTATAGGCTTTCCATTGGAGGTAATTGAAACAGGTAAAAGTACAAGCTTGCTTTCTTCAAAATGAAAAATTTAAAGCATTCTGCTACATATGAAATGTTTCATTCTGTATTTGTCAAAATCCTAACGCAACACATTTTTTCTTGTATCCTTGAGATTAAAACCTCACCTTTCAAAAACAAAGGGGAGACAGTTGTCTTACTTGTGTTATGTCTATACCAGTGAAAATTCTTACTGTCTCTGTATTACAATGTCAACAAATAAAATTAGCAAGTACCTGACATGCAGTAAATGGTTTGATTCTCCAAAGGAATGGAGGGATATCAAGGACAGATATCTGAAGACTGAAGGTATTCCCTTTGAAATGCAAAAGTTTTGGTTCCTCCAGTAACTGTCCTCCTTGGAGTCTTTCATCCAAAACCACTTCCTGCAATGGCAGAGGAGAAAAAAACATTTTTAAAGTGTTAGAAACAAATACCAACTCTAATGAAAATTCACCTTTCTGAAAGATGCCTAGTTCATAAGGTTTGTATTAACTGAATGTACAAGTCAAAGTTAATCTCTTGTGTTCAATAAATAACTGAAGAAGAAATTTGGGCCTTCGAATTTCAGGCAGACTCATCCAGGAAAATACTCCTAGCCCACGAATCGTGTAAGTATTAATAAAGGGTATAATTACAAAGCTATTGTAAATCTTTAACAATCCTTTCAGTGGCTTTGCTTTTATTAGAAGCACATAGACATTAGTGTGCGCTCCATTAAGATTAAGAAAACCATTTTGTTAAAGGTTCTGAGTTCACCAAGTAAAAGCCAGTGAATTTCTTTGTTTTGTCTTGGCATGCCATGTGGGAAAGTCACACAGAATCCTGGAATGGTTGAGGCTGGAAGGCACCTCTGGGTATCACCTGGTCCAACCCCCTGCAAAGCAGGGTCACCCCCAGCATGGTGCACAGGATGGCATCCAGGCAAATTTTGAATAACTCCCAAGGAGTCTCCACAGCCTCCCTGGGCAACCTGCATCACTGCTCTGTCACCCGTACCATGAAGAAGTGTTTTCTTACATTCAGCTGGAACTTGAGACAATTTTTTGTTTGATTGCTTGTTTTGTTTTTGGAAGGGGAAATGCACAATTATAATTTAGTTCTTCAAAGAAAAAAATTCTTGCTCAGATTGTAAAAAGGAGAGGAAACCCTGAAGTGACTAATGACAACGTAAGGGTAATAACTGTGATAAATTCTATACATCAAATGATAATGACTTACATTTTCTCTTTGGATTGGAGTAGCACTCAGCTGCAGATGCAAGCAGGCTCTGCCTGTGCTCATGTGGCCAAGGCACTGAGCCCAGCCTAACACTCTGCTTCCCAGCTGGAACTTTGTGCTGCGTTAACCATGGCTGTGATTTCTGGTTAGTCTAGAATGTAGGCAGAGCAGGTTTGCATCTGCCTGGCAGAAAATGAGTGGCCAGTTTGGCAGTCCTAAAGCTCCTAAACCTGACAAGTGAAACAACACTGCAGAGAAACTAAAGGATTTGCACTAAGTCATGCAGCAGTGGCATAAAAAATAACTGTTCTCATTCTTATTCATTTTGAATTCTGGACTGTTGCTGTAGCCCATGGACTATCCCCAGGAATAAAGGCATGTTAGTATTCTATGAAAAAATAATTAAAACCAAAATATCGAAATGAAATAATTTACCTGAAATGAACAAGGTGTGTTATCCATACAATATACTCTCAAATTGTAATCCAGAGAATTGCAAGACAGGCAGCCAAAAACCGCTACTTTCAGCTGTCGAACGGCACAGTCAGAGATGGGTTCTCCAATAAGTGCATAAGTTCCAAAGCTGTTTAAGAGAATGTGACAGGCATAAGGATCCAACAGGCAGTAGCAAGAAGTAGTTTCCTCTTCCACAGACATCACTTCCTGCAAAATGAAATTCAGGTAAAAAAAAAATTTAATAGGCCTTGACAATAGAAGTCATGACATCATTTATTTATATTTATTCAACTGCAATGTAAAGTGCTCCTCAGAGCCAGTATGCACATTCTTAACTGATGCTGACCTCAGGGAATAGGAGAAGGTAGACTACCTATATGAGTAAACAGTCTCCATTTAGCCCCGAGTCAACAATAGGAACTCTGTGCAGAATTCAGTGTGTACAGCTTACATGTATAATAATAATGATGATGCATAAGAAATTTTAGCATTTTTTTTCAAGTGTTATTGACTTTCTGGCTAATTTTTTCATGATGTCGAGGTAAGAAATTACCTTGAAGATTAAAGTCAATAAGCAAACCTTGAACAATAGTAGGGTATTTGACATCCTTCAGAACATCCATTACAGTTATGTTTACCTCAATCAAAAAACTACCTCTCCCAGTCTTTTGTATTTCACACTTAGTTCTGCATTACAGCATCATTAGATGAGGTATTTGAGCAGTCTACAGTCTGGTGTTACACTCCTCATTATTTCCAGGGTGCTTGTAACTGACACTGTTGGAGCTGACAGAGCATTGAGTGAACTTCAGTAGGAAAATGAAGCTGAGTTTGAAATGGTTTAAACAAGAGCAACAAGCAGCATGGTGGTTTAGAGGAGGAAAAGGACAGAGTGAGTTCAGGTATGCGTGAATGTTTAACTACTGTTTCCTTCCTTGCAATGCTAGGAATCAAACAGTTCCATCACTAGCAGTGCAATAAAGTGTGATCAACGATGGATTTGTGTCTTGGTACTGGGTACCATGGTTCTAATAACATGTACAGTGAGCATCTTAGCTGTGAAATTCCGCTCCTTTTATCCTGTGTGTATACCTGCCTAGCAAGCAGTTTTGGTCAAAGATGGCCAATGGGCTTAAAAAAATGCAGAATGAGCAGACAGAGATGATCAAATGCCCATGTCGTGAATACACAACGCTTAATTTCCTCAATAAATCAGTATATAAGAAAAATATATTTGAACTATAAAAAGCAGAGTATTTCAGTTAACATATATACACTAATCCTTCAGAGGTGATGAGTACAGGGTGATCACCAAATGCCCATTAAAGTGACATGTACAAAGAGACATTTTTAAATCAGGAGGATCCTTCTAGGTTAAAAGAAAACAAAACAAAACCCACCACCAACAAAAACATTGAACTTGAACTGTATATTTTTAAGCAGTGCCATAACTTTCTTTATGTCATGATAAATTCTTGCTTGGATATCATGTTCTGTTCAGACTTGGGCTTCTTTGGGAGCTATAAAACATCCAAACAGTGTTTTCAAGAGCAAATGGTTACTGGCTCTGTTATTAAGTGATCTGAGAAAATGAATACTTTCTTGTGTAACATGGGCTAGATCATAAAATTGACCCTTTTCTGCACATTTTAGTACAGCACTTGAACAGAGTTCAGCTACTTCAGAACAAAATGCAAAATCCTCTTACTTTTGAAAAGAAAAAAGATGATTTCTTTGAAACGCCCAATTATTCTGTCCCTTGAATCATCTTTGACCAGTTCCTGCCTGATTAAGAGTAATCATGTTTCCATTGTTAGTGTAACCTTTTAAGTGGGAGCGGAAGTCCTGAACTTACCTCCCATTTTCCTTGCTGTGTCCTTTTTTTCAAGTGAATACTCCAGTGCTCTGAATTTACTTCTGCACAATGTGGGATAGTCAAGGCAAACGGAGTGCTGACGGACACATCTGAGGGGCCACAGGTTACTTCTGGTCCTAGAAGAACATCTGTGCCTTCCGGCTGCAGGCTGGCATGTGGAGGAAAGTAAGACCATCTTTAGGATCTTTTAAATAATGTGGGAAAATGTATTTATAGTAATGGCAATATAAAAAATTCAAATATTTTAGTGAAAAATCTAAGTGCTTCATTCATCTGGTACAGAAAAGATAGAGCAAGCCAACTACAACGCTCATTTTCATGTAGAATTGGAGGCAGGAGATTGAAACAAAACTATTAAGCCACATCTACTGAAATCATTGGCTGGTCAGTTTAGGATTCTGGTCTTTAAAATACATTTCAATTTGTTTAAACCAAATGAAACACTAAAATTACTCTATGCAAGTAAGCCTTGTTTTACGCACCAGCTGGTAATATTGCCATCTAATTCTGCCTGCAAAGAATGTCATCTACGATATTTTCACAGTAGTGAAGATAAAACAAATTATGGTTTAAAAGCACAGCCTCATGAATTTTTCCAGACTGAGCTTGATCTCCCTGCTTTGAAAACACATTCATATTCTACTAAATGAACGAGATAGGTAACTTACAGTAGACACCACTGAATAGAAATGTTGGTTCTAAATTAGAAGTCAGCAAAGTAAGATATCTGCACGTGGTCTCCCTTCCAGTCAGTACTTTCATTGCCATGGCACAAGCTCACAAGCCCACAGAGCTGCACAATAGCTGCATGGCAATGAACCAACCCTCCTGTACTGCCTATGCTGGGTGCACTCCTACATTTCTACACCTTTAATTTCTAAGTAAGTTCATCTGCAAGATGAAAGCCACAACATTAACAATGCAAGTTCTGCTTTTTTTTTTTTCAAGTATCATAATTGCTCCCTAAGCCTCAGTGCTTCTAAGCGTTTGTAGGATTCTTAGGGCAAAAGAAATAAAATAAAGCACAAACAGACTCAACCATAGCTGCCATTTTTCTCTTCGAGCCATGAGTGTGCATAAGAGCAGAGAGGAGAGGGCAAAGTAGGATGCACAAAGCAGGCAACGCTTGCAGGCCGTGGTGCAGCAAAGCATCTAAGCACTAGCAGCAGCCTTAGCGCTATTAGCAACACATGGGAATGTGTGTTGTGTTGAACTAACGTCAGAATGACTATTCCAAGCACAGTTCAAGCAAAAATACTTGCTTATGCAATGGCAAACAATTTTTCACAACTCCCTCATTGCTAGGAAAACACCGATTCTGGAAAAAAATAACGTCACTTAACAACCACTGCTACCCTTTGCAAATGGTATTTGAGTTCCTTAAAAATAAAACCTTCCAGCAGTTCCCCCAAATCACCTCTTTCCAGATGGTTTAAGAAACCATCCAGAGTTGTTCACAAAGAAAAAAATGTCTCAGAAAAACCCTCAAGCCAACTTTCATACAGATTTCTTTTTCAGTAAGTTATTCTGGTCTTATGCTGTCTCTCTGCTGTACCTCAGCAAAGGCTGGTGCCTTCACGTCCTTAGCTCTGCTCTGCTGCAGCTGCAGGAAGGGGTAACAAAAGCAGATTGCCAGTGAGCAAGTCAGCCCTTAGTTGCTGAAGTTACTTCCAGTACAAAGTTTGACAATCCTCAATAACAGGAGCAAAATACAGGTTACCTTGTTTTCAGCCTCACACCACCCTATTTACTCCTGGAGGATGTGACTCCAGAGTTTTATTTCCGCTGTTACTCATCATTCCCATCAAAAATAGCTCAGATTTTTCAAGCTTCAAGAATGACACAAAACTCCGCAGGTATTCCCTCCTTGGTGGGGAGAATTTGTGTGATAACAGTGGCCTAGGGGCTGTGAGTCATTTCGTGCATGTTCCCTGCAGACTGGCTGAGTTTTGGCTGAATGGCCCTAGCAAGAAGATCTGGCCAGCAGCGCTGGGACCTGCACATCCCAGTCCTGTTACCTGAGTGACACTTCTCTAACTGCAGCGAACCACCGGCTGGCAGCACATCCCTGCAGCCCGTGCAGAACTGCAGTGCCGCAGCTGGAGGTGTTCTGCTTCGAGGCACAAGTAGCAGACAGCTTCCCCTGGCCCAGCACAGCTCTGCTCCGGCTTTCCGGCTTAAGAACAAAGTCAGAATTATGCACGGAGGCGAGAGACATTTCACTCTAATTCTCGCTTGGGCCAGAATCAATAACTTTGTTGTTTTTTTCGCAGACATCAATAGCCTGGACTTTCTGCCAACATTCAAAGCATGTATACGGTGGTTGGAAGTTTAGTTTGGCTGTTTTTCTCTGTAAGGAGTCCTTTGGTGGTCTTTAGCAACTTCCAGCTGCCAGAAGCACCCTTTGTAGCAAAGCTCAATAACCCTAAGATTTTTTGGTTTGGGGTCTTTTTGGAGGGACAATCAGCTCCCTCACTGGTTTGCTAAGTTTTTAAACTTAAAAATTTTTAAACTTTTGTCTTCTGTTTAGGATACAAAGGCTTTTTCATGCCACAGAGGACTTTATCAATTTACAGCAAAACCAGCTGATAACCTCATGACCAGAACTGTAGTGCACGGATTGTATTTTTCCCCCCTGTAAAAGAAAATTCCAAGTTGCTCTATCAGTTCCTCCATCAATCTCTGTTCCTATAATTACGTCTTTCATGTATATCTCACACCAACCTACCTTAATAGCTAAATGAAGATTAGAGTAAAAGTGACAGCAACCCACTTCCTAAACAATTTAAACCCGAACAATATGATCCTTGTTGTCTCCAGGCGCATTTTATGGTGACCTCAAATACTTGCAACACAGAATTTCATTCTTGTATGCGTCTACTGATCTGGTTAACTTTTGTATTAAATTAAACCTCACTGAATGTAATTTGATGTGGACAAGACTTCATTCAGAACCTACAGCAAGAACTACTGCATTTTTAATGGCCATACATCTTCAGCTTGTGAAGCAAAGAACAGCTTTCCTCGCCTCCTTCTCTAAGCCACTATTTTACCTTTCCTCCACCTCCGAGCATTGTGCCTGTCCAGGTGAACAATCCTCTCTACATTTTAGGGGTAACTGAAGAGAGACTGTATGACTGTTGAGCAATTCTGCAATGTGGCTTGGTACTCCTTCCTGTCATCCTGGATCCCACATACAAATCAGGTACTAAGTCCAAACCGATGGCATTTCCTCCCACCATCAGAACACAGAAGCCCACGGGCAATAAAAGAGAGCCCCTGCTCCTTGCACGTCAGCACGATCTGCAGCTGTTAGAGAAGTCTGTTTTATCGTACTCAGTGCAGATAGGCAAAAGATACATCAATGTTGCCTCAACTATATCAAGAGAAATAACAATATTTTAATGCAAAACATAAATGAACGTTTGCCTTTGTCTTACTTTATAGAAATTCACTTTAAAAAAGAAGGAAAGAAAAACCTTTCTATGGTAATTTCAAGTTTGGTTTGCAACCTATGTTTCTGCCCACAAAAAAAAAAAAAAAAAAAAAGGAAACAGGAGGCAAAATCTGCTGCTTGTATTTAATTAACCTATTTTAACTCACTTCTGCAGAACCCGTGCAGATAAAACAGCTGGTTTTTTCCTCCCTCCTTCCTTCCTTTTACATATCTTAATCTTTCACTGAAAATGATCAAAAACCTATAGCAGCAGATGGGGATGGAATATTGAAGTTTTCACAAAGGAGTTCAGATATCAGAGGGAAAAAAATCAAAACAGATTTCAGATAAATTTTTGGAAAATATTTCCAGGCTTTAAAATTTATAGGCAGCTCTGTATCTTTCAGTTCATGCTTTTCAATTTTTCTTTCTTAAAATTTACCTCCTAAAAAAACCACCACGAGATAAAAAGAATCGTCTTACTGAGGAAAAAAACAACTTTGCATCTAAAAATGAAGAACGTGTTCAACCAATCTTGACAGTTCAACAATAAGGCCAGCTTCTTGTAAGTTCTACTTTTCTTCTGAATCAGGATAGCAATATAGTGAGATGCTACACTTAGACTAAACAAGCTGTCATCCTTTCCTGAATTACACTTAATTACGTACCAATTTGGTAATTTTACCCTCTGGAAGCATTTGATCAGCTTCTAGCTGAAACCTGGTGAACCAGCCAAGCAAACTAAACTTGGGTTACACTGATGTGTGGTGCTGGCAGGCTCAAACAAACAAGAGAGTTCAGAGCACTTTCGATTATTTGTCATCTATGTTGTGCAAAATTAAAGTCACCGGGACGTAAACAGTCTATGGGAATAGTGACCAAAAAGCTGTTAAAATAATGTGTTTCTGTAACTGTGCTTATTCCTAAAATTAAAAGGGAAGATCCACTGTAAAACAGGTGACTTTGGGCCAAATTCCATTGGCCTTCTAATGTGGAATGAAGGAAACTGAACCAGGTACAGAGGAACTGATGAACACATCCACCTGTGTGGTCGACCGCAGAATTTAAAGCCATAGATCTTAACGGAGCATCTAGTTTTAAAAGCATCTAGAAGTCACCTAGGTTTCTTTTGTATGACAAACAGCTAGAAGTCAGCTAAGTTTCTTTTGTATGACAGGCATTTGCCCCGTACACAAAGCACCAATATAAAAAAGCAATGACCTGCATGTTTAAAAAAAGCTGTTCTTTCTTTTTATCAAAGTCCATGAGGTATCCCATCCTTCAGCAGCATTCGCATACTATTTCACAGAAAAACCAAGCAAAGATCATTTTTCTGTCATTTATATAGACACATGTATACTGTGATATAGTCATTTATATACTATAATGTCCCAGCAGTGCGGTAACACCAGCAACACTGAAGACATTCTATTCCTTTAAACAGCATAGACAAGAAATCAATGAAATGAGCCAGTTCCACAGATTTTGCATGTATTAAAGTGTTTCCTTCACACACTTCATACCTGGACTCCCTTTGATTGATGGCAAGGTAAATTTCCCATGAACTCTCTTCAGGAATTGCTCCATGTGGTATCAGCAGACTGACTCCTGCAACAGAGCAAAGGCAGAACTTATCTTTTGGAAAGACACTGGATGGAAGGACCCCAAAACTGGCCTCTGATTTATAGAATCGAGAAAGAGCACCTACTAGAGCTAAGAGAGTGCCTCTGAAAGAGTGGTTCTGACTGCAGCATTGTCAGATGAAGGGAAAAATACATTATTAATATGATCCATCCATGGAACTTATTATCCATGGATCCATTGTTAACATTTTACTGTCTTACAGCTGGGAGTCATACAGACTTGTGCCTAAAAACCTCTTGCTCAGACAGAGCTTTTAAAAAGTGGACTTGGGTTGGTTTGTGTCACTGAATAAGGTGGGATTTGTCGTCTACGCTTCACTGACTTTTCATCCCTGTGTATGAGCAGACTCTGTCTGCTTCACCACTTAGATAAAAAGGAATGATTTGTGGAAACAAAAGGGACCACAAAGTCTTTCCATGAAGCTGCCATACAGTGAGTGCTGTGTAATCCCTGTCATTTTGATTTCCTTAACCTATACTGTAAAGTGTTTGTTTCCGTTACATCTACCACATTTCATCCACGGTAGATCTAAACCTAAATATAGTCCCAGTCTCAAAGGGTTGAACAAGTCTTTGGTCTATTAACAGTCTTCAGAGTAATTTTGTTCCTATAGCAAAAGTTTTTATGCCATTGATATCAGGACCTACTCGTTTTTTTTTTTTCCCCTGACAGATTTCCAGGAGGTAAATTTCAGGGATGCAGGTGCTGTTCAGAATTCTCAGAAGCCACTTGAAGGTGTGCACAGTACATAGCAAGGCCATGAAGCCCAGCCCTGCAGTTCACACAATCCTCTGCAGCAAGTACTTTGAAGTAATTTTTGTACTTTTTATGTTAGGTAACAGATAAGAGACCATAGAGCGCAGTTTTTCTCTTTAATGTATCTTCTTGTTTATGATAAAAAATGAACCGGGTGTATTGGGAATGGGGAAAACCTCCCAGTTCTTTCATCAGAAGCAGCAATGCTAGAGTACAAAAACATTCAATTAGCTAATTATAATTTCAATGGGAAAAACAGGCTTCTTTTAATTCCAGTACTGATGCAGCCGAGGCAGCACACTTTTCAGCCAAGATACGCTGTACAGTCAAGCAGACCAAAACTCCTTACAAATCACAGTTATTTGCGTTTCAAATACATGAACATTTTCAGTAACAACACTGGTAATTGTTAGGTGCCCTTAGTTGTGCTGAGAGTGAGGTTCACATTCTCCTTCCTTGCAGTGAAATGTATGACTATGATCTCAGTATGACTCTTACAGAGATTCAGCTGTTGTTACATTTGTTTGAAGCCTTGCTTTTAAAAATTTCTTCCATAGTGTTTTGCCATCATTAAGTGGCAAGCATTTTCTCATTGAAATCTGGAATCAATGCAGGTATTTCACATCATTTGAACAGGGGAGAGGTTAATTCTCCTATGCGGTTGATAAAACCCACAAAAAGTTGGTATTTTACCTAAATTCCTTTTCAAGAATTCTCAATTCAGAATTCCAATTCTCATTGCCAAGTAATCAGAAATGTTAAAAGTACCAGGGACTGTGCAGCTTCTCAAGTTGCTGTAACCCTAGGCTGTGGATAAATGAATTTTAATCAGTTTGTAACAGTAAGCTTTACTTAAACCAAATTTAAAATGCACTCTCGGCTTACAGAGCTTAGAGACAGAATGAAATTATCTCAGTCTCACCTCAGTGACCTATTATCTTGCAGACCAAAAGGAACCACATACTGAGACTGAATATATCTAGCTATCTGCATGATCAAAAGGCAAGTTTCACTTCATAGAGGAAAACTTAATAGACTGTCTAGTAGCTTCATGCACGGGGACCCAGAAGATCCCCTTCAAGACAGAACATGTATCTTTGATTAAGGAAAGGGGACAAAAACCACCAAAAAGTGTTACCCTGGCAGGCTTTTATCTGATACAGCAACAGAACAATCTCCTCTACATTCTCTATTTAATTTTACTTTTCTTATATATATATATTTTTTAATGAATTCCTTAGTGGTACACATCCTGTCATCTGCATAGCCCCATGTTTACATGGCTTGGTTTGAACTTTTCTTGAAAGCTCTTTGTGCTTTTGAGATAAATCTGTTACTTCTAGGATTACAAGGCATTTCCTAATGGAGAAAAAAACGAACCAAATTAAGCTTTTAGTTTATATACAAAATAGCTAGTGATTCAAAGTGCTATGATTTTACTTTTGATTCACTAATATGAATTAGAAATTAACAAGGATGCTTTCTACTGGGCGGCAGTGAAATGAAACCATTGCACAGCACACTCAGTACGAGAAGACTGCATTTCAAATGCTCTGAATATGTCACACATGCAGAACCTCAGCTAAGCTGCAACACAATTGGCCTATAATTTACAACTGACTGGCAAATTTGATCTTACATAAAAATAGGGAAAAGGAAGTACATATAGATCAAATATGCATTTAAATAATCTAATTGATGGGACTATCATTACTTTAAGTAGCAGCATAAATGAAGGACTTCCTCGTTCATGACTTAGTGCCTGTGGCTTTGTAATATTCATTCCTGAACATAAAGAAGTCTGTGGAGAAATGTATTCATTCTATACGTCGTGCATGATTGTGCACTAAATATTATATCCCTGAGTTCCATACTTCTATAAATCATCTCTAAATACAGACCACATTTCTTATGCTAACCTTTAAAATCCTGATTTTCTGAAACATGAAGGATAAGGCTCCAAGCATTCAGTTTAACCAGTGAAGAGCCAAGCCTGGACACACTAACCAAATGCAATCAAAGCTGAGTTTAAAGGAAACCTTGAAAAAAGATCAAAAGAGTTGAAAAGATAACCTGTTAGCATGCTGCTGGAAAATGATCTTAACATCCTTCAGTAGATTCTAATTTGTTGTCCTATGTTTTCATCTAATTTAACAAACACTGTAAGCCTAAAATTCTGTTTCACAGAACTCTGAAGTCACAAACAAACTCTATCTACTTAAACAATGCAAATTGAGCATTTTTACTGCAATGGTTCAGTGCATAGCCCAACCTTGAAATGGCAGCTGACTTTGAAGTGCCCTACTACAGAACTTTGTCAAGCTATTAAGCTAAAAGAAAGAGAAAACCAGAAAGCCAGAAGTAAACGCTAATAAAAGCCACACTAGAGTTTTCATTGAGAGTGGAAGCTATTCTCCAGAGATGTCTTATTTGTTATATGCTGCAGACTGCAATAATATAACGAAGTCTGACAGTGTTAACGCAGTGAGATGCTGATGCATGTAGACTCTGATTTGAATATGACCCCATTATCTAAGATCCTGATCCAATATCGACCTCCTTCCTGGTGAGTGCTTCATTTGGATCAAGATCCAAGTAAGCAACAGCTTTGATTAATATGACTTACATGCTGAAGACATCAAGAGAGGCAGTAATCTGTAGCAGTTCAAATAGGCATAATACCTTTTTACTCTAATCCCAAGCATTGTTCTTATCATAGTCATCTCCAGCGTGGGCAACATGCTATAATTCCCAACATTTGTGTTAAGGAAGACCCTACTTTTTTATTTATTCACAGAATAAATGAATAAAATACTGCATCAGGCAAAGTGAGTTTCATCTAAAATTATGGACATGCTTTTAATAAGAAAGGATCTACCCACCTGTGTTTGGGACCACTAAACGACCACCAAGGTGTCCAAAAATGGCAGTTGTCTTCAGCTCGCTTTGTGTTGAAATAGAAGACAGGTTCTGAATATATGTAGCCTTGTTTCTAGACTGTATCGTACCAAAAGCTCTATTATTCCCATGAGGAAAAGTTCCAGAATGCGCCTTTCCGTGATATTCGGCCCTCTCTGTCACCCCTAGGGAAACCATGAATGAACTGTGAACCTTGACTTTGATGTCTGACAGGGGGTTAAACAGCGAAGACTCCGTCATTAGCTCCTTGTCCATCGGGTCCTGCAGGCAGATCGGCCCACTGTACGTTCTGCTCACTGTCAAGTCAGGCTGCATGGATGAGTTCAAAAGCAGGGAGTTACCTGGTGAAATGAAGCGGATCAGGCAGTTAGTCCCTGTGTTAGACAGTGTGCAGCAGTGCCCGGTGAAGCATCTGGACAGCATGTAGCTGGAGAAATGATATTAGAGAAAGGGAATGTTCCATCGTTTTATGTAGATCTTCATAAAGCACAGAGAAGTGGTAAGCTGGACTCCTGGCCTGCAGTCCCGGTCATGCAGTAATTTCTGTTACAATCTTGAAATGAATAAATCTCTTTGATTTTAACTATGCCCTTAAGCTACATGAGCTGCATTTACACTGAGAAGTGAAAAAATAACATGCATATGGGCTTAGGCATCCTGAGAACCATGACTCATATCCTATCCATGTAACGATCGGTGTTCTTTTTTAAAAATGGCAAATTTGGTGGAACTGTTGGTATACTGCATGACACTGCATGTGCACCTGCTTTGGTGTCCCATTAGTCCAGACTAAGTTTCAGCCCGTACCAAGCATGCTACAGCTAATTCCTTCCTCCTTGGCAATGGCTGGAGCTTGAATCACTCTGTCCTTAAGAACTGCAAATAAAAAATCCAGTCTGTATTTCACTGTCACTTTCAGTGAACCATTAGATGCAGTTTTATATCCCAAGCAGTACTCAGCTGCACTTTGATTTCCCCACCTATATATAAATTGGAGTTAGACAGGTAAGACTTAGGAGATCCAGCCGATGTGCATCTAATACTAACTTGTTTGATGCACTCAGTACTGTACTGCAGTCATAGGAAAAAGAATTGTATTTGGAGAGTAAAAGCTCTCCCTGTTTTGCTCTACACAGTATTAAAGCAAAATCCTGTGGTAGGCATTGGAAATTTACATAACTGGGCTTTAAGATGTTAAATCACAAATCTATTTCTGGCCCTTCCACCATTTCCTTTTTGTTTTGCTCTTCCTTTCTCATATTCTCAGAGAACATCATATAATACATAATTATATATAACGGAATATAATATAGGGTATATTATTATATCATATAATTACAGAGGGCAATGTTGAAAACCAGATGAAACAATGTAATGGATCCAACAGGTACTTGATCAGTGTGCTTCCTGCACTTCAGGCAATTCCAAAGTGCATGAATCCAAGCAGCAACTTTTGCTTTTGAGTGCATTATTATTTTTTCAAATTAAAACCCACTGGGTGAACACACAACTTCCTGCAGACCTTTTCTGTGAGCTTACACAAAAGGATAGTTTTTTGCCTGAGGGAAAGTGGGTTGAACAGAAAGTGGGACAAGAGAGTAATAGGAGGATGAATACCCCAGCTGTACGCCTAGGAGCATTTTAGCTTGGAAAACACTGGCTGCAGTTAGAACCTGGATTCTTTACATGGTTTGGTCTTTTTTGTTTGTGCTGTGCCTTTTTCTCTTTTGGTAGCAAATATAGGATGTCTCAACTAATTTTCTAAATGACCTGTATTTCAACCTTGAAAACTTGATCCTTTTAAAGGGACAGCAGGTTGGGTAGCTAAAATTATAAATAAATTTCTCCAAAGAATAACATTTGGATCATTTCAGTCTGTGTAGCTCCATGCAAAGTAGCACAGAATCTCAGATTACAGACAAATGGCCAGTAACAGCTTTAGCATTCAAGAAGTTGCATTTTTTTTTTTTCAGGCAAGGAGCTGCATTCTGTATGATTTCAGGTGAAAACAAATATAGCTCTGATGGCTTGCTTTGCAGCTCCACTTTCTTTTTAAAAGTGTCATTTCAAATGCCCACTCTTAAAGTACTTTCAATAGTTTTGCTCTCAATATATAACAGAAGAGATTTTCCCTGTACATTATCCAGTTTAGATGGCTTCAAAAGAAACAGACTGCATCTCGCTGTTTATACACTTATCTAGTGGTCCTAGAGACCCAGCTGAATAGAATTACATAAAAGCCTCATTTTTTATTGTCCTTTACACTATCTGTTGTCCTTCTGTCAGTAGTGTGCTCTCCTTTTGTAGCAAACTGAACAGAGAACCGGCCTTTGTTTTAGCTGAATTGTTTAGTTTACAAATACTCATATTTAAAAAACCCACAGACAGAGAACCAAAAGTAACTGAACTAACAGCATCCCAGCACAAGAGAAATCTGCTGTCTCGGGTGTTTTCAGCACCCAGAACTAATACTTTTGAAACATGAAATCAAACAGTTCATTCCCCAACCTCAAAACGAGTCTTTCATGGCAAACTGAACAACAAAAGAAAAAGTTATTGAGGCATTTGTTGACAATTACACAACTAATTAAAGACTTGAATTTATCTCTGCCCCCCCACCTTTTTTTCCAATGGAAATATAATTTCAGAAACCACCTGAATGCTGCTTTCAGTAAAAGGTTTTATTTCTTCCATAGTTTATTGTATCGCTGGATTTCTGAAGTCTTTAAAAACTAAAATGAAAATCAATAGGTGTTTACATGCCTTTATCTCCGACAGACCTCAGCCTATGCTAACAGCGACTTACAAAATATGTACAGCTGGGATTCTCAAATTAATGATACAATAAAATCTAATCACTTTTAAGGGAATCAAGAAAGCAGAAGAGCTGAGTAGGAAGGAACTAAAGACAAATACTTTTCCTTTCCCTGTGAGTCAGAAATGTCAGCCTAGAATCTAGTGACAGTATTTGTAAAGCACTTAGAGCGTGGTCAAGAAAGATTACATGTCCAAGTTGCCATGACAAATCAGTAGCAGAGACAGCAAAAGACATTACTGTTCTAACCACCACATCCTGACCCTCAGACTGTAGCTACCTGGCCCTGGCTTTGGGCACGTCTGCTTCGCATCACGCTGGAATGCCCTCCCACAGCCCGTCCTGAGTATGAGCTTAGTATCTCTTTGTAGTAGGGGCTCTGGAGAGAAGAAAATGAAATCACAACACTAACCTTGTCTGACTGTTTTAAAATTAAATGTCTGGAAGCCTCCTGTCAGTGCAGATGAATCAATCACATCCACGCCGTACTCACTCTGACTCCGTCTGTAAAGGGTAACGCCGACCACCAGCACAGCCACGGCGATGACTGCTGCTCCCAGGCCGGAGTACAAGGCAATGTCACTGGCATTCTCTATATCTGAAAGGAGAAAAAGCAGGTTCCGAGTCAGCCAAGCTCACGAAAATGCCCTGGCTGGTCCCAGCTGGCCGTGAGCAAAGGGGATTGTGTTTATGTGTAGCCACAGACACGTGGCCGGGGAAGCAGAGCAGGTCACAGGAGGGAACTGTGCACAAAAGAGCACTGAAAAGCCAGCCTTTGAAAGCACAAGCAAATTTCCTGATACATCACTCCATATAGGTAAACTTACATCAGTTTTAGGGATTGCATCATGATATTTGCAGGGTTTTTTAAGCAGAATCGTTGGACTTTTAGCAGTCAGCAGCAGGGTGCTTACCACCAGGCAGCCCTCCCATCAGCACACTGCTGGCTCGGGCTGTGTGCCGAGCTGTGCCACCATCTCCCCTTCCAGCCCAGTGGAGATGATTAATGTATAGAAACAGCCCTTCAAAGAGAAAACATGGAACAACTGAAGCTAGGGAGGGCTCTTTTAGGTACCAGCATGGTTTTCACTTACTGACAGCTCTCAGGGACATTTAAGTTTTCGTTTGGAGTTCTGGAGCTAATCCAGGAGGTCACGAATCCTCTGAAAAACCTGAGGGAATCCTCTCCAAGCCCTGGGCCCTTCTCCACTCTTTATTTTTTGTGTGAGCTTTAGCTTAAGAAGGAACAGTCCATCCTCTCAAAGCTTGGCGAATGGCTGATGATATCCTGCAAATCTTCCTGGATTCCTGCTGGCACCCGCTCCGTCTTTAGAAACAGGTTGGAAACCAAAACCAAGCCCTTCCTGTGATTGCAGCCATACGTATTAAGCTTACAACCAAGGTTTTTTTTTTTTAAAGACTTCGGACTTTTTACAGCAGATAAGAATTTATTTCTTTGAAAGAATAAATCCAAATGAAACCTGCAATATTATGTAATTGAATTATCCAGTCCCGCTGTTCCAGATCTTTTGGGATTTGGGACCACGTACCATGAAATTAAATTACTTGGCAAGTACACTTAGCAGGTCCTTAGATACTTCCCTTAATGCCAAACTCCAGTTTAGAGGAAGAGATAATCATGTGTTCATCCTGTACATCATCTGCTATCCCATTATATGTTGCTTCTTGCTATTAAGTGAGGAGCATTTGGTACAAAAAGTGCGTTTATTTATAACAAGTGACAGTGACAAAAAAAATAACCAGGAAAAACAGACTACTCAATATAAGTAAAACTGCAATGTACAGAAGCATGGCAGGAAGTCAAAACTGGCATGTAATAAATAGCCAATTATTGAAATTACTTAATTACTATTTGGGAGGAGGCTTCTGTTGTACACACAATTTATTTTTTGCAAAAAGATAACTTTATTTTAGCTGAATTTTTAGAATGAATATGAAACTTCAGACCACTGAAACGAAGAAAATTACTACCTATGGGCAGCATCAGAAAAGCTTATTTTCTTGGCTCACCAGCATCTGATGTAGACCAAATGTCTGACAACTAACAATACAAGCAGCTGAAACTTTCTGGGAAGGCACAACCGCTGCCAAATGCAATAATTAAGTCCAACTGTACTCTTCACATAAGTAAACGCCATATGAATTGCAACAGCAAGGAAACTGAGTAGGAAAACACTGCTTTAAGTAGGCTGAAGCACATGGGAGGTTTTCCATGAATAAGGCAATGCAATCGATTTTAAGTTGGGCAGCCGAATCAAAAGTAAAATTAACAGTTGAGGTCAAACTTCCTTAAGGGAAGCCACCCTTCCCTTCCCATTCTCTAACTTTTCCCAGCCACCCTCCATTCAACATTCCCATGTCCCATTCAACCACAAACAAACATTTTGCAATCAGGTTCACTAGGGCCACCTATTCAGCCTAGAAAATACTTCTGCAGCTGTTGAATTTTCAGATAACCTCATATCAAAAAATGTTTCAATTTTTAGCACTTTTTCCCTCCAGAAAACTGTAAAAGTCACCAAGTTTTAGTTGTGCAAATAACAGCTTCCAGAATAAATCCATCTTCCATGGCATGTCAGACAAGTAATCACAACTGAACGAAAGTGGAATAGCTCTTATCCGAATTCTTAGCATATTACAATCCCTACACACTCTACTAATAAATTACTAGAGAAAAATACGTTTTTTCTGAACTGTTTAGGCTCGAAGTTTGTAATTCCAGCCAGTAAGCTTGTAGCTGGCAGCGTGTTGTGGTTTAACCCAGCACCACGCAGCCATTCGCTCCCCCTACCCCCCAGTTAATCACAGACTGTTTTACCTCCATTTTATTCTCTTTTTATCAGGTACAGAAAGAAAAGTACACAAATGGTTACATTTCTCTTTCTTCCAATTTTCTATTCCCTAGCTATTTTGTTACAGGGAATTAATTATGAAACTCTAGCACTGACTTAATTTTTGTGGGCAATTAGTACAATGAATAAGCCCAGAGAAGGAGTGGTGTGTATCTGCAGTGGTAGAAGAAATCTAACACCACGTGGGTCCCTTCCCTTTCTAGAGAACTGCAGTGACCTGGTAGTTATTTCACCATAAAGCATCTTTGAGTCTTCCAAAAGAGATTAGTTTGATTCCAGGAAAAATTTTGTCAAAAAAAAACCCTCATCCACAAACCCAAGGTAACTAACACATAGACCTCAGGGGAAAAGGGTATCAGTTCTCATGGTATTCCTTTGGATTGTTCCTGTGGAACACAACTGCTTAGGAAAGGTAACTTTCAATTTTATTTAGGACGTTGGTATTTCTTTAGAAAAAAATACTGTATCTTGAAAGTAATTTTAATCTCTTCCCCTTTCTATTTCCCCTTTATTTCTCCATTCAGCTGTAGAAATTCAGTAAGAAAGCATGGGAAATTAGGGAAAGTAGGTAATTTATGCTTTTACTTTTCAGCAAAAGGGAACAAAAAGAAAAACAAACAAAATGAGAAAACATGTACCGTCAGCCAATTACTATTTAATGGACTGCATCCTCCCAGCCCAGTGGAGGTAGTGACTGTTATAAAAACCTCAGATTTCTATACATTTCAGTTACAGGGTACATGGTGGTGGTAATTTTAGCCTATATTTCACTCCACCTTCTGACACTGTTACACAACATTTATTGAAAGCACATTTGATGGTAATGAAGTTTCTATTAACTATGATTAAGTTTCATAAAGCACCTGAAGATAATTTAAGATGTGCAGAAGCAGAAAATGAAACATTTGGTTTAGTACATTAGGAAACGTAATTGATTAAATTATCTCATTTACAATAAGTGCTTTCCAGGAGCTATGCAGGGCATACGTTTCCCCCAGTCTCCCATTAGAGTTTGCTAGGAGATAGGCAAGATTCTTCCAGCTTCCCATCCTCCCCCAGTTTTCCACCTCTCTTACTTTGGTACCCTTTAGCAATACGAAATCCATTTCTTCATATAGCAAGTCTTCAAGAACAAGGACTAAAAGTTAGAGAATAATGGAAAAGGCTAGATAGTAGAACAGGTTGTTTCTCAATTATCTTCATAATTGACTTTGATTTTGCATCAGTGATGATTCATGTAGTCTTAAATGAAGTTCCTGTTTCACCGAACAGCAGCAAGCTGCATCATGTGTTTCTAACCCCACAGCTAAAGAAACCCTTTAATTCTCCTAGGAACCTTGCATGCTAAAATCAATCCCATTAAGGTTTCTATTTTAATAAATCAGAAATTAAAGCAATTTAACTAATGCTCTTACAAGATTCTCTAATTAAATGGGAACAGCACAGATAAACAAAAGTGTATCAATTGCCTGCGCTGCCACGGCACAGACCAGTTGTATGTGACCCATCAGATGACTCCAGCAAGAATGTGGCTCCTTTCTTAATTTAGGGCCCAAGTTGCATAAAATTTCAAATAATCTCATGACCCTCTGCACCTGTATCTTGGAGGAATACTCAGAGTTAAACCCCACGCTTTATGATACAGAAGAATATCTCTTTAAAGAAGATAGGAACAATTGCATCCATCTCACAGTACAGATGGATTCTCCTTCCAAGTCCTCCAAAGGACTTGAGCCAAAAATGTATTTATAAATCTGTTTGTCAAAATTCAAAGATTTTTTTGTTGTTGAAAATTAAGCTGTGAGAAATCCTCACAACTTTGTGTATGGATTATAAAAGAAAAGCAATGTCTCAGCTTTAAAAGAAGATAGGCTTCATGGAAATTGCGGCTTTGATGAGAAGAGTGCCTTTTTTAATGAAAACTTTTTTCAATTCACGTATGCCACTCTTATTTAAACTAAAATTCCACTGAAATCAATGGAGAGTGAGAAACCAAGACTGTAGGATAGGAGCCCCTGAAAACAGCATATAAATTTATATATACGGAAAGATATATAAATATACATGCACACTCTTTACAGTGCAAAGCATACCAACACCCTTTACTGACTGATAAATCAAGGTGAAGTGAGCTGACCAAGATCAGACAGAGCCACTGGTGGAAAGAGATTTGAACCAAGCAAGCTGAACTCCTATATCACTGCTCCCCCCCCCCCAATGCAAGTTCTCAAAAGATCAATTTCCAGATAAGCATTCCTGTAGAAATGGCTCTCAGTCAGTCAGACACGAAATTACTGAAGCACAGTCACTTCTTTTATTTTTAGTCTAAAACCTATGATCACCAAGTCGCTAAGAAGATGCTTTCAGTAGATGCAAAAGCCTTTCATATAACCTTCAGTTTTATTTAGTTCCTAAACAAATAAAACAGAATGGCAGAGAAGATGAGAAAATCATATTTACAAGAGAAAAAAATAACTTACTTTGGGATTTTATTTCATGAAGAGGTTTTTTATCTAAAGAGAGAGAGAGAGAGAGAGAGAAAGAGAGAAAGTTGCACTTAATAAATTTACATGGAGCATATCTATTTCCTATATCGCTTCTGTCTAGCTCTATAAATGAAACATTTTCTCCTTGTTTGCTGACAATATGAATATTTTATGTTGTCCATATTTTTTCCCTTCATCTGCTTTTTCTAAATCTCTTTCAGGATGTTTCTTTGCAGTCATTCCTCATGTGGTTAATTCAAGTATTTGTTAGCTTTTGGATGCCTTTATTTTAGAGTATTATGCATCCCAGCAACAAGCAAGTTCAACACTTTGAAGTGGATCACTTGGCAAACAAAGTCAGTTAAGATTTAATTTTTTCTCTGTATGTTTATGAACTATCAGAATTTACAATATATTCACATTTATGTATCTAAATACACACAATAATTACCTCTATATGTGTATATAAATAACATACAGAACCAATGTAGTATTGAAACATATGCAAGGATATTATATTATATTATATATTTAGATGTTAACTTTATAAAGCAGATTCTATATACTAGTGCATCTCTCTCAAAAATGAGGCTTCTCTCTCTCCCTCATAATAAGCATTTGATTTATCCTGTATAACCTATACCTAAAAAAGTAATCTTTAGATTACCTTAGGACCACGTCAAGACACGCGATGTTCATCATAGTTTTTTGGTACATGACAATGTAAGCAAATGGTCATGAAATGCCTTTTGTTCTTTACTTTTAGTTAAATTGATCACTTTAATAATTTTCAACTTAAAAGCTTCATGGTTTTTGGCTTTGCCAAAAAGCTATTTTTTTCTTTTTGATTTTTTTTTTGTTTGTTTGTTTGGTTGGTTTTGGTGAGGAAATGGTGTTTGCAAACACTGAATGAATAGTATCAGAGTTGGATTCTGTAATGGAAAGAAACATTTCTGTGCTGCTGACACAGACTGGTACCTACAGAAAACTGCAGTAGAATTGAAATGAGTTTGCCATATAAACTAGTGAGATTGCTAGAACCAGAAGCCTCTTGGCAATATTCAGTATCACAACTGGTCAAAAAGTAAAAAAACAAATTGTTTATGATGCATTAGTAAATAACTAAAAAAAAAGAAGTTTGCAGTTCATCTCCTTATAGCCTGCGTATTTCTTTCTTTTTTGGGCACTGGGAAAAGAAATCGATAGTTTTTGAAGTTATAAAAAACAAATAACTTTAAAGCAAACAGATAAAAGTAAAATAAAAAACTCTACAAAATCCTCTTCTGTTAAGCAATGAAAAAGTTTTCACCTCTAGAAGACAGTGAGAACCCCACCAAGGACATGTACACTACTGAGAATACCAGCAGGGAATAAACAATGAAATACATGCAAGAAATACTAAGTTATTAAAACTGTGTGAGCCAAAGTGACCTTTGCTTTCAGATGGCGGCAGTCTCCATTTTATCCCAACTTGGTGGGCCTGGCAATCATTCACATAGCTCAAAACAAAAATAATTGTCTTCTGCAAAGCAGTTTCTCTCCCTTCAACTGTTTGACATCCCTGTACACATTCCCTGCAAGGAAGGTGCTTTCAGCTGCTCCTCAGTTAAGGACTGGGCTATCTGCATCCATCCAGAAACAATCAAAAACCAAAGCAACAACAAGAAAGAGAGATCTTCTGGGAATGAAAGGATTCCTTCTCTGTGTTCTTCCCAATCTTTCCTGTCAGGAACTGAGTAAGGAGTAACTTGGGAGTAGGCTCTGTTTTATCACTGCTGCATTCAGTGACTCCAAGTTGGAAATTCTTGCTAGGGATTAGAACTTTTCCTGCCAGTTCAGAATCGGGCCACATATTTCCGGCATCTTTCATTCTCACCCTTACTTTCATTAGAGTTCTTACTTGTTAACCAAAGAAATGTTTCATTTCTATTTTTGCCTCATGAAAGGAACAAAGTTAACAAGTTGTGCCTGATAACCTCCAAGAGATTAGTTATCTGAAGCACTGCACTGCATTTCCTTCACAATTCCCGATGGGATGAAAAGCAGAGCAGGAAAGGCACATATTGGAAGATGAACGAGAGAAAGATTTTAAAAAATAGGGTAATTGCATCAATTCCTATTAGCTGAGAAAGCAATTATGGTCCTAAAAATAATTTGACAGAAATATATATATATATGTACAGCACAACCCATTAAGGAGTAATGGTATCACATTCCAAGATGAAAGAAACAAGAGACACTTAACACTTCCATCTATCTGAATGCATACAGAAATTCAACTTTCAGAACCAACACATACTCACTATTACTCCCCATCACAGCAGAAGGAAGAGACGAGCTTATTTGAAGCACAAGGAGCATGAAGGACAGAGCTGATCTCAGTTCCACTCGTTACTGAACAGCAACAGCTTCTGATTCACTGAGTTAAGTTCTGCTTTTACAGCTTAGCTCAGTTAGTTTCAGTGAAAGACTGTTGTATACAAGGAATAATACTGAGAACACTCTCAACGCCAAATTATATTGGAGTAGATTTATTTTTTTTTTTTATCTCCCCACAAAATACCAGTTTCTGGTTCTGATATTAGGTAAAAAAATGTTGGTGCAAAGAAAAACCTTCAGTTATATTTCTCTTCAAATTAATCTTATTGTTGTTAGTTCAGTTTCCCTAATTCCCCTCTCACCTTACAAAAAGAACAGTAATACTTTACAAAATGTAGTCAATGTAAGAACTTTCATAGGCATTACATTTAGAAAGAGAAATTATATTGATTTTAAGCCATAAGTCCTAAACCTACTTCGGTGCAAACAGATACCCACCTTGAATGCAAAGCCCTTCGGTGCAATTCTCGGACTCTTGACTCAAGCCCTCGCAGTATTTTCCCCCGTTTCGAGGAGGCGGTGCGATACATTCCCGAACTCTCAAATGCTCGCACTCTGGGCTGCACACGGACCACTCACTCCACACCTCCCAGTTTCCATCCACTGTATGGGAAGGGGAAAAAAAGCAAACATTGTCATTGCTTATCAGACTGGTGGAATTCAGAGTTCCTACAAAGAAAATTTGTTTTGTATCTCTCCTCAGGTCGCACCAAGTAAAACACAGAGTCGGATACCGTGTCAGATGTGAAGTTAAAATTCTTCATTAGAATGTACCACCTCACACGTGCAATGTGAAAGCTTTTAAAATAGCACCAGTGTACAATGTCCTGCAAATATAGGCCATTAAAAACTGCAGGAGGAAACATTTCCTTTGCCACATAGCTATTAGCTTCTGAAGTTTCAATGCAAATTCTACCTTAAAACAGGTTGATGTAGAGAGGCCACACATTAGCATACCAGAAAATGAGGCTGACGTTTACAAAAAACACCCTAGCTGGCCTTGCAGACCTCTGGCTAACGCCCTGAGCAGGACGATGGATCAATATGTTGCTTTGCTGACTGATATACAGCTGCCTCTGACCCTGTCCCAGATGAGAAGAGATTCCACAGTCTCATGTATAAATCAGGTTGAAGAAAAGTCAGAATAACTCATAGACAAATACAAATAGTATTAAATTCTTTAAATACCAATTCAGGACATGTTGTACCTAAAAATTCATAAAAGCTAGAGGAGAGGTTTGCTAAAATCCAAACAGGCTATGCTATGATCCATGGAAATATCGAGTCTTAAAACTTCCATGTACACAATCCTACCAACTTTCTTTAGCTGTATAAGTGAAACCCAAATTCCAAAATCAGGTAAGGGAGGTTTTGTTCACTTGTGAGGATGCAAGTATTTCCAATTTCCTTTTTTGCCCTCAGTGGGCTTTTCAAAGCACAATTGTCTACCAGGCATTTCAGACAGAAAAAGGGTTCCCCTAAGTGTGACGGTCAAAGTTACTCCATAGTGGACTGTGCATATCTCACCGGGGCAAAGAGAAGTGCAGGTAATTTTCTGCACTGACATTCCTTCACAAAAAGCACCTCCGTTGAGTGGAGCAGGGTTAGTACAGGTCCGTGATCGCTTCTGCCAGCCCCGACCACACCGCGCGTTACAGTTTGACCACTCGGTCCACGATGACCAGCCTCCGTTAACTGCAAAGCACAAATGTGTTAGTGGTTGCAGGAGGTGCTCTAAGACACAGTAAGCAACAGATCTGTTCACATCACTTAACACCAAAATTTTGCTTTTGAATGATGTTCTACAGGTAAATTCCAAGCTGAACTAGGAGCCACTGCCACCTACAAAGCATCAGGACACAACTACATGAAGACCATGGTGTCAGAGAACACAAACGCTTGTTTTGGAGGAGTAATATCCTAAGAGGCACAGTAACTCATGGGAAGACTCAGAGGAGAAGGTAAAAGCAAGTACATTAATTCTCTTAAAGCATGCTTTGTTTAAATCACGAACAAGACTTTTATTATTTTTAAAAGGATTATTTAGGAATTCTCTGTCTCTACCAATAAAACTTCCCATGAAGTAATAAACAGGGAGAGCAACAGGGGGGTGGTAATAAAGGAATGGTTCTGCTCTTTTTTGCTTTGCTGTGATTCACCAGGCAATGCTTGTACACTGCAGAACCCCAGTTAAGGAAGCCCTGTACGTACCTCCCTAGGCATGTGTTTAAGGGTTTCCTGATACAGGCGTAACTTATTTGTATGGTTTATCTTATAATTCGATCTTATTAATATCTGGAGCAAGGATTGTTAGCACTGACATAGCTTCTAGAAGCTTTCATCACAAACAAGAAGCTCGTAACTCTAACCCCTGTAACAACAGGCATGATCTCAGCCTTGAGCAACAGAGCTAAAATTCATCATAACAGGAATGAGGTTAGCCATTTGATTTAGAACCTGTTGTAAGTTACAAACAGAACTTCAGGCAGAAAAAGCACGCACATCTAAGCTTTTCCATAATTATCACATTTTCACCAACCATAAACCACAACTGTCGCAGACATGCTCCTTCTCTTGGCAACAATGTTGGCAGCCATGCAGGTATAGTTCCCAGAGTCAGACAGACGTGCCTGTCGAATGATCAGGTTGTGGTCTGCTCTGGTGTCAATGTTCTCGTCCAGGTTGGAATCGATGGGCTCTTCATTCTTCAGCCATTCCACCTGGAGAGGGGTGGAGAAGACAAGAACGTGACATAGGAAAAGGAAAGATGGAAATGGAAACAGGAAGTCTGCAAAATTGTTTTTCAGTGATGCCACTCCGATCTTTATAATAAACATTAAGATAAAAATCAAGCTAGGATGGGATTCCCAACAAGGCAGATATTCACAAACTCAAAAAAGAAACTAATCCTATTCTGAAGAGCCTGGAGCCTCATTAGCAAAGAGGCACCAAATGAAATGCTAAAATAGGAAATATTAAAAGAACTATAAATGGCAACAAGCTGGTTCCGAGTTGCAAGAATGTGGATTATAAAGAAAACGTTACGTTTGTACTACTGGGAAAAAGGAAGGGAAGGGAAGAAAATGGAGACTAGCAATCCAAGTGAATGTCAACTAAGGAATTAACAATTTTATTTTATTTTATTTAAATTCAGGGGAGGGAGGTATGGACTAGGAACTTAGAATGATTTTTTATTCTAAGATAAAAAATCTGACAAGAGAGAGTAGGAAGTGTTTAAATATATTACTCTTTATGTACAGCCCTTCACATGTTCAAACCATTGGACAATGATCAGTTAAGCTTCGTGATATACAGGGTTAATACAGGGTACTATTAATTTAATATTTCTGAGAGAAACAGAAGGATGAAATCACTTGCTCAACACTGCACACAGTGGACGACCTGTCATCATAACAGATTCTCATTTTAAATAAACATTATTAAACTAGAAGGCCATTAGTATTTGTTGTCAAGGTACATAAATACTGTGAAATGCTATCTATAATATATTTCAACACATCTCATATCAACCAGCATATTTCTGAGTAGACCCAGGAATTATCTGCAAGGCATTTCACCACTTGAAACATTTAAACAAAATATTTAAAGCATGGTAAGCTGCTGCTACAGAACTGAAAAATTAAAAATAGAAGCAGAATCTATTAGAAGTCTGAACAAATGTGACTCATTTTAATAGCTTTTCTAGACCTGAAGGAGGTATGGCTGTACTCTGAAGTCAAATACCCTTCTCATCTCAGTTCTGATGAATAACCTCATTTGGGAACCTGTGGAAGGACCTGTAACTTTGTGGTAATGAGCTTATGGATTTGCTAGCTACAGGCATTCATTAGCACACTGTTCTGCGCAGATGGTCTGCAATTTGTAGATTTTCCAGTTTATAAACAAATCTGCAAAAGCTGACCATCAAAGCCAATTAGAATTCATGCCAGACAGCAGGTTCCCCTTCCAGTAGCATCAGTCATTTTGGTTAGCTGGGGACAGAAGGTGTGGGACTGACATATCTGTTGCTTCTCACATCTCTGCAGCACGGCAGTCAGCTGGGAACCTATCTTGAAAAAGAATTGGGGTTTGTGGCATTGCTACCTTACCTGGTGACTCTGGGAGTAAATACAGTGATTATTTTACGCATCTGTTACAAGGGGCTCTAGATGAATACGAAATGCATTTCATTTTATACAGAAAGTAGACTTTAGCTCAATATACTCTTTTCTCAACCTGTGATTAACCAAAAATAACAAAACCAAAGATCATCATCAAAGGTTCCATTAAGCATTTAAGACATCTGTCTTTATTTCTGCATTAAAGCTTTGATACAGCGCTGGGTTTCATTGCTGTTGTTTTCTCTTTTGCTATGTTTTTGTCTCAAATAGTATTAAACAATCTCCCTCACAAAAGTTTTCCATTCCTAGAAGCACCCTAGGAGATGTCACAGCTAGCATTGGTGCTTGGCTCCGTTCCTTCCCCAGGCTCAGTGCTGTGACAGGCACTGCACTGGCAGCAGATGGCCAGCCGCCGCTCCGGAGCAGCAGACAAATGACCTTACCAAATCCCCTAATGCCGAACTCTTTCCTTAATAATATCTGTTTGAATGTATTCACGCAGTTGTATTGCATTTCTCTTTGGTCTGAGTACGATGGGCATGATCATGTCATCCATCTACTGCTGCAGAGCTTCCCTTTTGGAGGTACTAACTGTCAGAGGGGATACACGCACGCAATTTTGCATTTTGACTCTCATCAGATCAGGGCCTTTTGTGGGGCAGGAAGGCTCCAGGTCCCGATTACTGTTACACTCCCACTTTGGCACCTCGAGCTGTTTTTCCTCTAGATAACTGTTCCATCCTGCTCTGTTCTTCACTGCGTGTAGGACTGCGAGGCATGGTGAATGAAAAATGTTTACATTAATGCAAAGCATTTAAAAGAATGATGTTCGCTATGAAGGGAGAACATTAAACAGACGGAACATAAATGTGAAAGCAATCAAAAGATGATTTGTAAATGAGGGCATGCATTGCTTTTTGCTTCTTATCTGGAGGCTCGATGACACTGAATACGCTTTAATTCCAGCCTCCTCCTCACTAGAAGATGACTGCTTCAACCTCACCAGATGAATGTTTTCAAAGACAGAAAACTAAGATGAATTTAAAGGAAAAAATGATAAATTTGAAGCCAGCATGATGACAGAAGGTCATTGCTATTTGCCGTGGTGCAACCTTTGGAGAATTTCAGCACACACATACACAACCAACACAAAACAACCAAGCAAAATAAAGGCAACAAAGAATAAAATGAGGCATGTGGTCTGAGCTGCCAACTTGTCATCTCTGAAGAATAGACTCAAAACTCATTAGCATTTAACTTCACTTGCTTTATCATCACTGGAGGTCATAAAGTTGCTTGTAACACACTGAAATACATTTCTATTTAAGAATTAGTCTGTCTGAAGATCTTAAATGTTTTATCTTGAACTAGACCTAAAATGGCTGTCTATAACTGCAGTAAGTTTATAAAAAGAGACCTTTTTTTCTGAAATAAAATCTGCTCAGAATTCAAATACTGCCATCAATTTCTAACAAAGGCTAATCACGTAATGATCTACAAAAGAAATGCAGGGACAGATATGGATTAACTCAGCTACTACGTATTGGGTGGCAGCAGATGAATTAGCGTAATCATAAATTTGTTCCAATTACAGAAAGCAATTATCAAAGGCAAGCTTACAGCATTATCAAAATGAAATCAGCTAAATACACCATATCCTAGGTAGATTAAGATGAGAGTTAGCAAACTCTTTAATTATTTCTTTATTTCTTGAAAAATTAAGTTTATCCATCTCATCCATATTTCCGTCTACTGTCTACAACATCAAAACCCCCGTCAGCTGCACCACGACTGCCCTTTGAGTTGTGTAGGTGATGGGAGTCTTCCTTAAGAACCCTTAAGGGTTCTTCCCCAGTTGCTGTAACTTAAACATCCCAAGAGCTAGCTGGCTGCCCGTGGCTATATTTGCTATTCTTTTTAGGGTATCTTGTTTGAGAATATTACGAGTTTAACACCCAACAGGAGCAATACCACTCAGCCATCTTTTGGGCACACATGATAATTTTATAGGTCAGAAGACAAAAGGCCCTGGTATTCCTGCTTTTAGATTATACTGTCCTGCCCTTTAAACACATCTGACTTTCTCATGTGGTCAATAACCTGAGTACACATATATCAGAGATAATATAGTTAGAATGTCAGCTCCTCTTGAAGAAAGAATCAATTGCTTTCTGTATGCAAGATAAACACTTCATGATTTTAAGATGGGAAAGGTCAACACCTGACTTATGGCAGCACAAATGTTTCTTATATAGTAGTCAAGTTTACAGATTTTAAATACCCTCTCTCAGATGGAGAAAACAGTAAATAGATCCTTAACCTTTCTTTATACATCCTTAGCCTTCCTTTAAGCCAATACCACTGTTCAGCACATTCCTGAAAAACAGTTTTTGCATCTTTCAGATAAAAATGTTTTATCAGTCCTGGATCTGCTTGATATTTTAAATGTACGCACAGCAGACTAGCATTTAGAAAGTCTGGTACAGAATGCAATAAGTAAACAGGTACATTGCTGCTCATGAGATTGCAGGTAATTACACTAAACACAATTTTCGTCTCTACTATCTTATGTTTCCCCCGCACTGAAGGCAGAAACTGTCTTTCCATGAACCAGACAAAAGCTGATATAACCTAATAATATATATTATCCTAAACCACTCTGAGTATGAAGCTGTTAAATATTTCTATTTATGTTAAAGTTGGATATAAAGAGCACCAGAAAGTGGGTTAGAGGGGCAGAAAACGATATAAGAGAAACACATCTCTGTGCACAGACTATTTAAAGAAAATGTAACAAAATAATCAGGAATGGAGGTGCCTTTTTATGTCTGTCCTTTGTCAGGAATGTTTGACAGATCTATCATCTGGCTTTGAAATAAACAATCCTCCCCCACAAACTTCACTAGGGAGGAATAAAGTTTGGGCATGAAATTTTGAGCTAACAGAACGAAGCTATCCAAAGTGGCCAAAAGTCATTAAAACAGGACTCAGAGACACTTCTCCAGATCTTTGTTCATTCTCTGCTGTAAGGACAACTGCTGAGCAGCGAACATAAACTCGAAGTTGATTCCGATACCAGTTTTTGCTGTGTCCTATTAAGGTATTTAAGCAATTCAATATAAATAATACAGAAGGCATCTCCAAGAGAGTTGTTAGCTCCCTAAGAACAAAAGGAACACTGTCAATATATACAAAAGAACTAGGCAATACTCTGTCTTCCCCTTGAAAATCCACCTTTTCATTAAAAAAGAAGGAAAAAAAGGCAGAGCTGAGAACATCTAAAATCAAAATATCTAATGCCTATCTGAAAGCTTTTCTTTAATTGGAGAATAAAACTGTGCAGGAAGGATAATTGCTTTTCTTCAAATAAATTTCCTTTAATAAAGAACACTTGCAGTAGGTTCTCCCCCTCGTGCAGGTACAGCAGGCTTCTGCCACTTTCTCCTACCGACTCTACAGCAAGCCTAGGGAGATTTTATCACTAGGCTAACATTAGCTTTTGTGAATATTCCCCCCACAGTAATCAGTTCAGGCCTCAAGCTAGAAAAAATTCTTTCTACCTTATCATAGATTTAAGTCTCATATTCCCAAATCTTTAA